ATCCGTTGATGCCCTGGCTCAGGAAGTGGGTAGTGAGTATGTCTCAGGACATTTACATGGAGGGGGCAGGGGGAAGGGTGTGTGTGCATCTGGTAGGAGGCCCCCTGCAAGAAACTAGAGTGGGAGGAGGCATGATGCTGTGTACTGGAAAGAGTCAGCTGAGCTGGTAGCTGTGGGCCTATGGCCCGGCACATGCCAGTCTCTGGAGTTGTCAGGTCCCAGGTTCAGATGGTTTCATGTTTATATCTCTGAGTCAGAAAACTGGGATCTGGTTTCTCAAGGAGCAAAGGTTGCCTGGCTAGGAGATACTGAAAGCTGGTAGCTCTCTGCTTCTTTGATGTGCCTTGCGCTTTCCAGTGTCTAGGTCTCCCCTCTGTCGTCTCCCCAGCAGGGCAGCCCCTGGCTCTCAGAACTGGTCATGAAGCATGTATGCTTCTTCTTTGGCTTTCTCTCACTTCTGCTGGGTGCTCATTCAATCTCCCTGCAGTCCCCCAGTTGGCACTGAAAATGTGGGGGTGGGAGGTGAGGCCCAGTTAGGAAAGCAGTGAAATTTAACCACTTCTTCTCTTCATGAGAGCTGTTCCCTTCTGATGCCTTCTCAGCTGGGGCCCCGAGTTAGTGACCCCTATCTCTCTTCCAGGGGTGGGTTGAGCAGTTTGTGTGAAGAGTGGATCTGAATGAGCTACAGTTGGTAAGAACTTATGGCTTTTTTTTTTTCTTAGAAGAGTGAGCATGTATATGTGTGTACATGTGTGCATATAGAGATGTACCTCAGTATGCGTTTTATGTATTCCTATATGCATGTGTGGATGTACATATTTTAAATGTATGCACACACACATACATCTGTATGCATACATGCCTTGGTAACTGGACTTTACACTAAGACATGTATACATGCACTTATAAGCACTTGTGTGTCTGTATGCACATACATGGATTACATCGGGAGAAGAACTGTTATGTACAAGTTTGAGGTGGGGAATCCTCTTTTGAGTACTATGGGATGCAGGGAGACAGCTCAGCAAACTTCTTGCTTCCCTGTTCCTTGCTCTTCACCTGCATCCTGGCAGCCCAGATGCTCTTAGAGTTGAAGACTCCAGCCCAAGACCAGTACCAAAGACTGCCTGAGGCCCAATAGAGAAAGCCTAAGTGACAGGGCAGACGCTTGGCTCATGAGGAGGCTGACTTCCTGTCTTGCTAAGAGGCATTAGTTGCCATCAGCCTGGCACAGTCCAGGGTAGACAAAGCTCTGGGTGCCTGGGGAGATGGGAGAGGGTTGGGGCTGGGGAAACAGCTTGCAGTCAGGCTTCTTTCTGCCCCAGGGGCACTGCCCATGGGTGTGGCCTGGTCTGCCTGAGGCAACTGACCTATTTTCCTTAGAAATCTTCCTGCTTTCCTGCTCGCTCTTGCATGAGTAAGCAGGAGAGTGGTGAGTAGAGATGGGGCTCTGTGAGGGTTTTGTATGTTCTTTGGGGGCTGTTTCAGAGGTCTCAGCCTGCCTGCCTGAACTTCTGACAAAGAGGAGACTGATAACCTGGCCTTGTGCCCTCTTTATTGTCCCTTTATCTTCTTCCTGGTCATAGACAGGGGTCTGCGGCATAAAACTTGTACATGGGCACAGATTATACCAGTGAATCGTTGTCCTCTCCCTGGTTCAGAGCAGGGATGCTGCTGTTGCTCGACCAGGAGTAATCTCTCAGTTACTGTGCCTGCCTGCCTGGCCTGTGGTACCCTCACCGACTAGCCTTGCTGTATGCATACCAGATTGCCCTCTGTGGTATACAGGCTAGGTGAGAACAGGCTTCCAGGTGGTAGGGCTGGGGGTTGTGGGTGTAGGGGGTGTGGCTTCACTTTTCTGCTGAGGAGCTCTGCACTGCTATTGAATTACAGACTTCCTTCCTGCCTGTGGCTCCTGGGGAAAGGGCTCTTGGTAATACAATCTAGCCCAGCAAATTAAGGTCACTAATAGCATTGCCACTTCACAGTGGCCAGGGGGGCAGTCCAGGCAGAAGGGTACGAGTCCATCTAGTACCCTGCTGTTCCTAAAGTTGCAGTTTACCTGGCTTAGTCCACTATTCCTTGGCTTCCTGGAGAGGGGTATAGAAAGACTGTGAGGGATGGGAGCCATAGCAAAGTGGGCTTCTCTAGCATGCTAGGGTCCTTTCTAGGCAGAGGGAGGACAGATGCCATCAAACTCACCTTCCCTGTATGTGCAGAGGATGGGACACACTCATGTACTGGGTACTGGTCTCCTCTCCAGGCCAGGCTTTCTGTATACTCTTCACCTGGTACTGGGTGGCAGGAGCCAACTTTCTACTGTCCTTGGGCCCTCCTCTGGGTATGTGCCTCCCACATGGTGAGAGCCCAAGTCTGCTGGCTTCCTGGAATCTCCGGGAGCCTCCTGGCCTGTCGAGGAGGAGGGATTGGGGGACTATTGGGGGCTGTGTCTTTTTTGGACTCAGCAGGGATTATTTTTAGGCTGGCAGATGGAGGTGGTGGTGGCTGTCGCTGGTATTATTAGACAACAGGCCTGTGGTTTGAGAGTCTGGTGCCCAGAGGAGGAGGAAGAGGAGGCTGCACCAAGGAGCCATGGAGGCTGGTATTTAGCCCGTGTCTTCCCTCCTGTTAGCCATTATCAGACTGAGCAAGGCTTCCAGGTCCAGGTAGAGTAGCCTTCACCAGAGTCAGCCAGTGATATTCCATGCTTTTGGGAGGCAGGCCTGTCCTGTAAGCCTTCTGTGATCTTGGGATGTAGGGTCTGGACTCTCAGAACTTATGCAGAAGGTGGATGGAAGCTCTGACTGTAGGGAAGGAAAGGGGCACTGGAAAGTGGCCTTGGCCAGTTGGATTCTGGAAGGAATCCTGACCCACCATTTGTTGCCTAGGTAACTTAGGGGAGCCACGTACTGTCCTCATTTGTGAGACTGAGAAAGCAGCACTGTGTCACACTGTAGGCATGTAGCATCCCACTCCTGGTACAGACCCTGAGTGTGGTGGAACTGAGCAGTGTGTTCTGTTTGCCTTCCAGCTGCAGCCGAGGGTTCTACACCTGCCTCTTGCCTCTACTCTGGGTACTTAAAAGTGATTTTCCATCCTCAGGACCCTTCCTCCCCAGCCCTTTCCTGGCTCCAGGTTGTAACTGTTGGATGTGGGGCTGTGCCAAGCCTTGGATGCCTTGTGGTTCTATGCACACAGGGTGTCTGCTGGCAGCTCTGGACTCAGCTACCCACTGGGTACCACCTGGCCCAGAGAATGGGAGATTTGTATCCTATGGGCTTCCCAAAAGGTCAGCCAACCTGTAGAGACCCACTCCATCCACCTGCCCTCTTGCTCTCTCTTTCCTGCCAGGATGGCATAGTCCTAAAGTGGGTTGGGCAGTTACTCAGGAGTCAGATTTACTAGGTATAGGAGACCATATTCTGTCCTCCTGAAAAGTGCCATGTGGGGTCTAGGACATTTCCCAGCCTCCTTAATCATGCCCACCCCCTTCCAAAGGGAGGGATCTGTGGTCACTATTCCTAAGCATTGTCTCTCTTGCCCTCCTCCTTCCTCATTCCTCTGCCTACCAGCTGTTCCCTGTGGCCCTGCTGGGGACTAATATGTCTACCTTATGTGGGCTTTGCTGACTCTTAGCTCCCAGGGCTTTGAATTCCAGTGTCTCTGTTATGGTAACTGACCTGAGTGTCTTCCAAGTTGGATTGTCTTGGAGTGTCTCCCAAGTTGCATGAGATCTATTCTTGTCCTGTGTTGTGTCCCCCCACCCCAACCCAATTTCGTGCCCTGAGCCTTTTTCACTCCTGGCCTGGGGTTTGCTTGCCCTGTGTTTCATTTCTCAGTTTCTACTTTTTGAAGGCCTCTTCCCACTGTATGCCAGGATAATGACTTTTTTTTTCATTTTTTTTCCACCAAGCTTTTCTGGAGAGATGTTTATTAGACATATTTTGGCTCAGAGAAAATCAGGCCTAGAGAGAGGTATCTGTGGGTGATAGAGTAAGGAAGAACACCTGTGTGTGTGTGTGTGTGTGTGTGTGTGTGTGTGTGTGTGTGTGCGCGTGCGCGCGCGCGCGTGCGCACACATGTAGAGGAAGAGAAAATGACTATTTTGAGATTCAGAAACCCAAGAGAGCTTGGGCTGAGTGTGGAGGCTGAGACATGGCTTCCCCCTCGCCTTCCTTGTAGAGACACTTTTCTCATTTTGTCTTGTGTGTCATCTTGGGGATGCATTCACTTTGCAGTCACTCGTCTGTGGTTGGGATGCTCTGGAGAAGTGATGCTGGTGGAAGAGTGCCTGCCCTGCTACCTAGGGTGTGCTTCATGCTCTCATGCTCGGGATTCAGGGCCCAGCCTAGGGACTGGCTGAAGCCATGAGTGAGAACCTGTAGCCTTCCTTCCAGGGCTGGGAAGAAAGGTGTGAAGAAGCTGTCTTATTGAGATGCAGTGAGAACCAGGCAGTGCTGGGTGCAAATGAGCAGCTGGCACTGTGGGGACCCATGCCAAAGTTGACCTCCTCTGAGCATTGCCCTCCAGAGCCCTGGACTTGACAGTCTATTGTCCAGAGCAGAAGTTGACTATTAGGACTTCATGGTGTTCCCCAGCTCTCTTTTTTCTACTTAGACTTTAGGGGCAAACACGCTACCTTTAGTCGGCCACTTTGTCCACCTGCAGGTAACCTGGCCCTGGGAAAAATCCTTTCTTTCTTTCCCAGGGTCCTGTAGTTTGTCTCCTAATCTTCTCACAGGCTGTGCTGCAGATAGTTTTTGCATATGTGCATACACATTTACGTGCATCAACCCCCCCCCCCCATTCTGACTCATGGATCCTGCTGGCCATCCATTCCTCTTGGTCCAGTACTGGTCTTTGTATGCCTAGATTCAGTAGGCTCTTTTGCCCAGGTGCCCTATGGGATGTTGGGGAATGCAGTGAGGCACTCCCTACAGCTGGGACCTCTCCTTTCCTGGAGCTGTAAACAGCCTGCAGCCAGATTGGAGGAGGGGAGGATGGGAAACCTGCCTGGGCCCCTGGCAGGTGAGTGCAACACTCTGCTTTGCTCCAAAAATACTCAGTGATCTTAGCTCTTTCTCTAGAAAACAGTGATGTCACCGGGAGCCAATAGGCTTCTGGAAAGGGCTTGCCTCCCTCTCTGCCTCCTCCTTCCGCAAGTTGCAGAGAAGAGGGAGGAAGAGGGGGGAGAGGGAGACACAGGCGACACACACTGACTCCTTGGAGAGGCACAGACAAGAAGCACACAGGCACATAAGAAAGCTTCCCACCATTTCTGAAAAGCAGGCAAAACCCCTTCTGTCATAGGCAAGCAGAAATCCGCAGCACACACACACACACACACACACACACACACACACACACACACACACACGAGAGAGAGAGAGAGAGAGAGAGAGAGAGAGAGAGAGAGAGAGCCAGGTAGACAGAATCACCCACATAGAGTGGGAGTAAGAAAGAAACAGAGATGGAGGCATTGACATAGAGACATGAGGAAGAAGCAGGAGACAGACAGACAGACAGACAGACAGACAGACAGACAAACACGGGTACACAATACACAAATACACATGCACACACCAACACCAAAAAGAGACAAAGACAGATACCCATAGGAGTCAGAAAGAGAAAAGCAAGACCTAGAGCAAGGAGAGAAGCTGGTACAGAGTACAGAGAGGTGGACAGTGATCAGGAAACACACACATACACACAGCTAGACACACAGATATGAAGAAAAGACAGAGGCACGAGCTCACGGGGCCAGAGGTGCAGAAAGAGCTGAGGTGGTCAGAGAAAGCACCTTGCTCTCCAGCAGGCGTCTTTGGGTGGGAGGGCCCAACAGGCATCTGGCTGGAAGCCTCCCGTTGGTGGCTGCTGTCCTTGGTACTGCCCTGGAGAGAGCTGGGCTTGCCTGGTGGTGTAGGGGAAAGTGTGTGGTTAGCTTGGGAGTCCTGGGCAGCTGAAAGGAGGCAGGGGTGAGGCTGTCCTTCTCATTGGAAGAAAAGATCAAGGTGACCTTGTCATCTCCCTCTCCCTTCCTGGTGTGAGAAGGGTGCTGGAGGTGGACTTCAGGTTTTGTTTGCTCTGATGTGTAGGCAATGTGCCCAGAGTTAACCTCTTTCCTGGCTCCTCAAGCTTGCAGTTTGGATAGGGTCAAGTCCTCTCTTGCCTATTTCCGTCCCTTACCCTCTACCCCAATGGGTGTGCCCTCTCTAGCTCTCTGATTTTGATGTCCCCTGTGAAAGACAGGGGGCTGCTCCAGTGCCCCCTCCTTTGTTACCATCGTCTTCCTCCCTTAATGGTGATGTCTGGGGCTACTGGGAGAGTCTAATAGATTCAAGGCCTGGAAATTGGATGGCTGCAGTGCCTCCTGCTCCCCTCTGCAGCAAGGCTGGCGCAGTGGGTTGGAGGAGGGGCTGGAGAGGCCGCTCAGGCCCGTGGGGCTTTCCCTCTGGTGTTGCCAAGCAGCCTCCTTAGCTTGTTAGGGATTCCCCGCTCCTGTATGGAGCCCTCTTGTTTAGTGCTGTAACACCAGGCTGAGCTGGGGGGTGGGGCAGAGGAGGAGGCTGGCTCTGCCTTCGCCCACCAGGCTCCAGTGGGAAGTGCCTTGCTTCAGAAAGAATGCTGAATGTTCATAAGGACTACAGCGGGGCAGGGCACCCAGGGCTGAAGGTCCCTTGTTCCCCGTGTCTATAGCTCCTGCTGGATACCACTTCACAGGGCAGGAGTAGTTACCTGAGGAAGGAAAGCCAGGCATTATTATGCCTGCTGCTTTTTTGGGCCTACGATAGGAAGTCTTGGTTGCAAGACTCTTCTTCCAAAGCTATACAGAAAAGCTTGAATGTCCTCAGGGCAGAGGGAGGTATGCAAAAGAGGTGGGTGTCCAGGGTGCACTGGGGACCCTTGGGGAAGGGAAGGCGCAGATCCAGAAGTGGGGAGGGAGGGTTGGATATCAGCATGAACTGTAGGAGCAGGATCTTTTTTTTGCCAATTCCTCATGTGTCACCTTGGCTGTCCTTGTTAGGTGCCCACGGCCTGCGAGAGGAGCCCAAGTTTGTGACTGCTCGAGCCGGTGAGGGTGTTGTCCTGAGATGCGACGTAATCCACCCAGTGACGGGACAGCCCCCACCCTATGTTGTAGAGTGGTTCAAGTTTGGGGTCCCCATCCCTATCTTCATCAAGTTTGGCTACTATCCCCCACACGTGGACCCTGAGTATGCAGGTAAGGTGTAAGTGACGAGGGCTGTCCCCTCTTTGTCTCCACCACCCTCTAGGTCCTGGCTGTGTTGAGCCTTCCTCCCAGGACTCAGTGGTATCCACGAAGTCCCAGGTACTCTTCATTTTTATTTCTGACACTTCTGGCCTTTTTCTTGACTGGTTCTATCATCTCTGTTTCTCATGGTCTTTGACCTTTGCCTTCTCTCTCTACTCTCTGCTCTCTAGGAGAAGAGGTGGGAGGTGAGGCAGACATGAAGCCTGTCTGTACAGCCTGGGGTTATAATGAGAGGCCAGGAGTCCAGGGCAAGCTAGAAAGAGGCCCCCCCTGGGAGGAAGTGAGGAGTAGAGGGAGGAAGGGATTCAGACAGCTCCATCCCTTGCCAGGTATGGTGCTAGGCTGCAGGACCTGCTGTCTGTATGACCCACTGTCCTGTCTTTGAAGTTGGGTGTCCTATCCCGAGCCTGGTGTGCATCTCCACTGTCTGCTGTCTGTGGCCCTGGCAGACACCAGATCTCACCTCCTCTGCCACTACCCTCCCTTCCATTCCCTGGCCCCATTTATGTGTTGCTCTGTAATTATTCTGCCAGCGTGGTCTCCCTGTGACTCACTGCTGCTGCCTGCCCGCCAGCCCGCCAGTGAAGAGGGTGCAGGGTGTGTTCGTGTGTATGTCTGTGAGTGTGAATGTGTGCTGGAGCTGAAAGAAAGTGAGGAGACAGGCAGGACCCTGCCTTTGCCTTTCTTTTTCTGTGGCTTCTGAGGTCTGAATTACCTTCTCTGAGGATGCATCCTTCCTTTCCTCCTTCTATCCCTCCATTTCTCCTTCCTTCCCATGCTGGCAAGGGAACTCAAAGCATTGCACTTCCAAGCAAGTGCTATACTCTTGAACTCCACCCAACTTCTCTGTGACTCAGGGTCTCACTAAGTTGCCCATTCTGGCTCCTAGCTCACTATCCTCCCACCTTAGCCTCTTGAGTAGCAGGGATTATAGGCCTGTGTCACGTGCTAGGCCTTTTGCTGTTTGGCTTTCTTCTGAGCCTATGTCCTCCACCTTCCTTTTGGCCAGGATTAACTTTGATAGTCTTTTAAGGCAGGGTGGCATCAGAGTTCCTACAAGGAAGGCTTGACTCCAAGGTGGGGAGGCGAGCAGAGGAAGCTGTGGTTTTGGTTTGGATGAATGTGGGCTGGAGTGGAAGTGGGGCAAGCGGGGCCCCTGGGCTGCTTTGCCCACTGCAGTGTGGGCAGGGACTCTGCTATGCCCTATGTGTCACAGAGGTGGTTAAGAAAGAACCGCCAACCCTTGCCTTGCCTTCCCCTTCTAGGCTGGCCTTTGGGGGCATATGTGGTCTTTGTACTGGTAGCAGGAGTGGAAAGGACCCAAACATCTGGCCCTGGCCTGCCTCCCCTCTGCTTCTTAGGGAAGCCAGACAGAAGGAAGCTGGGTCAGACAAGTTCTGAGCATCCAGCAGGGACGAAGATATTGTGGGTTTGCTGGGCAACCCCAGTCTGTCCTTTTCTGTATCTTTCTTTTTCTCATCTCTGCATCCACCATGCCTTTCTTTTGTCCCAGATCTCCAAAAGAATGGGTACATTTTTAAGGAGCAGAGGCTATTGTCAGTGCCACACACAGCAAGTTGCCCTTATAGACTGGTGCAGGGCCATTGGGGGAGAGGCAGCGGTGCATAGTCAAGGCAGTTTACCTTTGTTCTCATTACCTGTTGCCTGTGGTAGCTGCCGAGTGCTATTTTGGGTCATGGGCGTGGAAGTGTCTGAAGGCTATGAGGGGTCCCTTTGCCTTTAGTGGGGGAGTGGGAGAGCTGATGGCTCAGCCTTATGGCTCACTGGGTTTTGTTCACTATGTCCCCCCCAGGCCGGGCCAGTCTTCATGACAAAGCATCTCTGCGGCTGGAGCAAGTGCGCTCAGAGGACCAGGGCTGGTACGAATGCAAAGTCCTTATGCTGGACCAGCAGTATGACACATTCCACAACGGCAGCTGGGTCCATCTCACCATTAACGGTGCGTCAACGTTTCTTCCTTGGAATGGCCAAGGAAGATGGCCTCCGGGCCTAATCTGGAGGAAGTGACTCTACTAAGAGGAGCCCCAGTAAGCCCCCGACCCCATAAGATCTTGGTTCACATCTTCTTTACACCCTTCAGATGTGTTCCTGGAATTCATGGGTCAATAGCAAAAGGTTCCCCATGTGCAGGATGGCATCAGAGTTCCTCCCAGGAAGGCTTGAATTTGCTTCTGAGCATCAGGAGGTTTGAATTGGTCAGTATTGGTGTCAGCCTCGGATGACTTTGTTAGCCCAGGGAATGCCTTTTCTCAGGTAGAGTTCCTTGAATCTCAGCATGGCTCTTTCAGGTTGCTCACTTAGTCCTTGTTAAGAGGGTTTATTTGGGTAATAAGTACTAAGGGTCTGTTATGTTACTAGCCCCGCACCGGGTGATGGGTAAATGATGTTGAGTAAACCCAGACCCTTTTCCTGCTTGAACAGGGTTTGCCAGCTAATAAAATGTGAGAATCCTGGGAAGAAGAACTGTTTTAATGGCTGTCAGTTATTTATAGCTCATGTTAAATGAATTGTGCTATGCACAGATGCTTTTCAAGTATCTGACTCGGGCAAGGAGGCCTGGGTGAGCTTGCTGAGCTCCAGGGCTGGTCTAGACTGGGGTGTCCTGGATCCACAATGGCGATGGTCTGAGGGACTGAGTTTTAAGGTCTCCATATAGGATGAGGTTTTAATAGCATACATGTATCTGGGAATATAGATGCTATGGCCCTGAGAATTGATGCTCCTAAATTAGAAATTTCTCTTGAGATGGTTCTGCCTTGAAGAGTTGTTCTCTCTCCCATTCCTAGTGGGGTTCTGCGAGACTCATACTCTGCCTGGGGTTCGGATCCTGTCCAGAGTCTGCGGAGAACAGAGAGTATTTTAGGTTTTTCTTAAGAGATAATTTTTTTTTTTCAGTGTTGGAAATCAAAACCAGGGCCTTGTGCAGGCCAGGTATGCACTTTGCCAAAGTTATGTTCTCAGTCCCAGAAGAGATTATTTTAGCAGGAGTGTTGGCCTATAATGCAGGACACTTTAAAGTTGGTGACTCAAGGTCAGAGGCAGAGCAGTCACTAGGTGTTGTTAGTTCCTGCTGTTGAAGGCAGATTTTAAACCTTGTGTGGATGTCTCCAGCAGCAAGCAGCTTTCTTGTGACCATCTGAGCCACTTATGTCCACAGGGCAATCTCCTCTCACCAGGGACACAAAGCAGATCGTAACTCAGAAGGTAGATTTGCTGCTCTGGGCTTTCATGATTGAACACCAAGTCAGAAGATTAGGCATCATCTCCTCCCACCCCCACCTGCCCTGTGCCTTTTCTTACTGCCTGAATCCACCCTGAGGCATGGCCTAGCTCTCACATCATCCTGATTGATAGTATCTATTCCAGGAACCCAAACACTAGCTCTGTAGCCAAGATTCATGTTTAGGAAGGTAGAGTTGTAGGAAACTTATGTTCTGCTGGAGATTGTCTTTGTTTGCGTGAGTTGATTATTCAGGCATTTCTAGTTTCTCAGGGTGGAATAGATGTGGATCAAGACATACCAAAGATATGGCTTATTTTTTGAGCCCATTGCATATTAAGTCATTGTGGCCAGTTAAATCACCTCTCTGGGTTTCCGTTTCCTCAGAAAGAGTCTGTTTGCAGGATGTTGCAAGAATCAGTGGACTGCTTGCTGTGTGAGATGGTGTCTTGAGCACTAATCATCTGAGGGCAGCAATGGGCAAGAGAGCAGCCACATTTTTCACAGCGGGGAAAGTGCAAGCAGATCAAAATGTGGGTGGTAGGGATAGCTAGCTAGAAGGCACCTAGGACTACAGTCCTTTAAAAGTCTTTGCCAATCTACCAAAAGTTATCCATTCAAGACATATTTCCCAATGTGGAATATTTCTCTGTGGCAGGGGACATGACCCAATCCTGGTGTTTAAGGCTTCCAGTCATGTCAAGCAATGATTGCCTTGTACTTTCTGGAGCACAAAGGAGGAAGAGCCTCTGAGGACATGGCCTCTGCGGAAACCTGGCCAGGGAGGACCTTAGGCAAGAGCAGGGAGTGAAATGGGCAAGGTCCTTCCCTATAGGACTTCTGGGCATTTGGGAGCCCAAAGGAGGAGAGCACCGCAGTTAAGCAGTGCAGGCAGGCTGTGACGTGCAAGTGCTGGGAGGAGCCCTGAGGCGGAGCTACCAGGCCTTCACGTGCAGTTCACTATCACCCAGGAGCAGGCCAGGAAGATTCAGAGCAGAGCAGCATCCTCCATGAAAGAGAGCTCCCACCAAAGCCCCCATTTCTTCTCTTCCAAAATTTCTTCCTGTGTAAATATTTGCATTCTGGACAGAAAGAAGTGGATGCCAGCCTTTTGTCACATCTAGAGCAGAATGTATAGTGTCAGGCGTCTTGTGATAGGGGTGCCTTTGGAGATAAGAAATGGCCAGGATAAAAATAAGAGTTACGATAAATTGTCTCATTTGCCTCCTGTGTTTCTTTGAAGACTTATTGGGTGAAAACAATCCCAATTATTCTTTATCACATGTAAAATACCTCTGAAGCCCAAGCCGAGTTTTGCTTTAGGTCTAGTATATGGGTTGGAGGAGAGGCCAGCTTATTTCCAACCTGCACTATTAATTATAGGGCACTCGCAAGAGGAATTAAGCCTGGAAATGCAGCTGGCAAGCTAACACCTAATTCAGTAAATAATTGAGAGTCAAACCATTATTTTCCTGAAAACTTGAAATTGTTCAAAGTACTTTCCTGATTAGCACCTAAATAATAAAGTAATTATGTAATTAGTAATTAATTTGTCACTTCAGGACATAATTTAATTTATTATCTTTTCTTTTAAGCTTGACACCAGAGGTAATAGAGGCTGTGGTTGAGTTAACTGAATTTCAGGGGCAGGCTGGGTGAATGTAGGCTCTGGTATGAGCACACATTCTCAGTGCCTGGAGGCTGGAGTCTCAGGATACCTTGACAAGGACTTGGGAAGGTCCCTGTCACCATTGCTTTTAGTGTCTTTCTGAACATTGGCTGCGCACCGTGTTTCTTGGGAATGTATGTTTTATGTGATGCAATGTCCTTCTTTATTCATCCTGTAGCTCCAAGTGTCCTGTGTCCCCACCTAAGTTATAGGTGTTGGAGATTCGAGGCCAACGTGGTCCTGCTTGGTCTTGCTTCCAAGAGGATGTATGTACTTGCATTTGTATTGAACTATAGACATGTGTGTTGTAGGTCTTCATTCAGTTACTTATTTCATTCATTTTTCCATTCACGAAATGTTTGTTGAGCACTGTACATCCAGGAGCCACAGGAGATTTGAGTATTCAGTGGCACTAGGAAAAGGCACCTGCTCACATGAAGCAATGAAATGGGATCTGAATATAGAGTTGCAGGCCGAGCAAGAGCTCTGCAAGTGATGGTCTTGAGGTTGGCTTTCTTGCTGCAGAGGAGACACAGAGAGCCAGAGTTGTTAGAGTCTGCCAGAGAGCATGTCCAGGAGATGCAGCTAGTGCAGGCAGGACCCAATCCAGCACTCTGACTGACTCTTGGTGCACAACTATGTAGAGGGGGAAGCAGTCTTTCTGAAGCTCTTCCTTTGTCTTCAGACTACAGCTCCCAGGTGTGATGATGGCAGTAGTGATGGCAGAGCAATCAGAGTTTGCTGTAAGCATTTGTCTGCATTTTACACAAGATATTTCATAAACCTTATCTTTTTTTTTTTTTTTAATCACCTACATCAGTTCTGGAGGTTGGAGGATTTAGAGAAAGCCCAGAGAGTCTTGAGGAACCTGTCTGGGATTATATGGTAGGCTAGTATTTGAACTTGGATCCTTGAGAGGAACCCAGGATGGTTTTGGTGCTAGTATTCAGAATAGCCATTTTGGAAGAGCATGGAACCAATTGTCTGAGAGGTCAAAGTTGACCAGATTGTCTCTGCAAGCAGCTCAGGCAAAGGATGCTGAGTTTCTTAAAAGCCGATTATCCAAACAGGATGGAGTGTTAATCATACCGTCAGTGCACAGGAGAGGATAACCTCATGTAATCAGGGGGGAATTAAGAACGTAGTAGCCTGTGGAATTCACTACTCATCTTTATCCACAGGAGCCAAAGAGGAGGAGGTAGACAGGTGGGAGATTGTTCCCTGCCTGTGGAATGAGGTAAAAGTAAGATTGTGCATCCTTTAGCCTGGGACCTGTATTAGGCCTTGACGGGATTCAATCAAGAAATCTCCTGTGGATGAATGGGCTTGGTGGAGTGGGAGACCCTGTGTATCATGATTATCTTGAAGGGAGGTGTGAGATTCTTCAGTCTTGTTTGTCATGTTCCTAGCACTGAACACATCAGCTTCCCAATAGTAGGTGTTCTTAAATACTTTACTGGGTAGTAACTAAGTTCAGCCGGATAAGTATAGAATTTGGAGATAGCCAGACTGAGAGTAGGTCAAAGTTGACCAGATTGTCTCTGGAGGCAGGGTCAGACAAAGGGTGCTGAGTCTCTTAAAAGCCCATAATCCAAACAGGATGGAGTGTTAATCGTACTTTCAGAGCATTGGGGAGGATACCCTCACATAATCTTTAGGTCCTAGGCCATGCCACCCCCATGATGTATTATAGGAGGTAGAAGTTTATGCACTGTTTTTGTTCCTTGCATACTTCAGAGTTCTAAGCACTGGTGGATGGAGTCCATCTCTCACTTTCCTGGTGTTCTTTGCAGCCCCTCCCACCTTTACAGAAACACCCCCCCAGTACATTGAGGCCAAGGAAGGGGGAAGTATTACCATGACTTGTACAGCTTTTGGGAACCCTAAGCCCATCGTCACCTGGCTCAAGGAAGGGACCCTCCTCGGTGCTAGTGGAAAGTACCAGGTGAGTGCAGCTCTCACCTGGGTACCAAAACCACCCTTCCTCATCCTCTCTCCCTGCCAATCTCCCATCTAAGGCAGCTGACCACTGATGTTATGTGTACAGGCCCAGAGTAGAGGCAGGCAAGCTAATGGTCTGACTTGACTGTGAGCATTCTGCTGCCCTTAGGAGGGAGATGAATGAGGAGGGCCTTGTCCCTGGCTGCCCCTGAATATGAGCCGCTGAGGCCATTTCCAGCTTCTCGGAGCTCTTCTCTTTGCTTAAGAGACATGTTGGTGAGGCCCACAGGTGATGTTAGGTTCTTTCTGTGCTCCTAGGTGAGTGACGGTAGCCTGACGGTGACATCAGTCAGTCGGGAAGACAGAGGCGCCTATACCTGCCGAGCATACAGCATCCAGGGTGAGGCTGTGCACACAACTCATCTGCTTGTTCAAGGTAGGGAGACTTTTTCAGCCCCTGTCTCTGGAACTTTAGGAGGCCTCCAGGCCTGCTGAACCATGGAGAATATTTTCTCAGGGTGTAGCCTGCCCAACTGGGGACAGTAGAGGACCTGGGGGGGGGACTGTCTCACATATATCACTTATCCTGTCTCCCACCCTGGTCAGCTTGGAAATGGTGTAGCAAGGAGACAGGGACTGTGCTGAGCTGTTTCTGAGAGTGCATTCCTGCTATGTCTCCACCTTCCTCAGAGAGGAGACACCCTTGGGTCATCTATCCATCAGTGACATCATCAATATGTAAAGATAGGACAGTAATCTAAAGCACCTGACATTTAAACAACACCAGGGATTTTGAGTAAAGCTGGGTTCTGTAGTCTGCTTTGAGATGCTGGCCTGTCTTTTTGGCCCCAGAGTATCCTGAAAGGGGCTGAGCATTCACTACTCAGGATGGGAAGGGTGCCAGTAGGGGGTCTCTGCATGCTGGAGTCACAGTGGGAATTAAGGGCAGTTGTGTCTAGTTGGTGGTGACATTCTCTCCTTTGGCTTCTGAGGGCTGAGCAGGAGTTGAGGCAGATGGTGGAAAGCAACAATACCACTCCAAGGGAGGGCCAAAGCCCAGCTCTGCTGAGGTCTGGCTTACCAGTCCCAATGCTTGGTGGATTTTGCCTCTCTGCTCCCCAGACTCCTTTCCTGAGTGGCTTGAACCTCTGACTGGAGAATAGTACAAGGTTCTGTCTACTTCAGAGATAATCAGGCCTCATCCCTTCTAGCCTGAGCTGTGTTGGAGAGAGCTGGGCAAGAAAGGTATATGAGGCTATAAATGGCTAGTCTGGAAATCATGGAGCCACTGCAGATGTGGTACTGAAGGGTACCTGAGCCTCCAAGTAGCTGGAAGCATTTCCACGATGACTGCCTGGGCCCTGCTGGCTGGACACCCTGTCTTGAGCATCCCAGAGCTTCCTGGGAGGCCTGGCATGGCAGCCCTCCCAATCAGGAGAGGTGATGTTTATTCCCTGTTCTCTCCAGGGCCTCCCTTCATCGTTTCCCCTCCTGAGAACATCACCGTCAACATCTCCCAGGATGCTCTGCTTACCTGCAGGGCAGAGGCGTATCCCGGCAACCTCACCTACACCTGGTACTGGCAGGATGAGAACGTCTACTTCCAGAAGTGAGTAGCGCCCTACTCTAAACCTCTCACATGGGTCCCCACAGACCACTGCCTTGAGAGAGGGGCCTGGAAGTGCTTGGGAACCCAAAGTTTCCTTGCTGCCTCTAGGGGAGGTAAAGGGACTCATTGCTACCTTGCTTGTATTTCTGCCAACATCCCTCTTCCCCTTGCCTGCTTGTCATTGTTTTTCAGTGACCTGAAGCTAAGGGTGCGGATACTGATTGATGGGACACTGATCATCTTCCGAGTGAAGCCAGAGGATGCTGGAAAGTATACCTGTGTCCCTAGCAACAGCCTGGGGCGCTCCCCCTCTGCGTCAGCATACCTGACTGTGCAGTGTGAGTAGGGCTGAGGGAGGGTGTTCTGGGCATTCTAGTAGGTGCAAGCTGCACTAACTACATTGGAAGTTGAAGACCCAGCATGTTTCTGAGGACTAGAGGAACACCTGAAGGAGGACTGGTCCTCCTCTAGAGGAGGCCATGACCAGTCTGGCCAATAGAATGAACTGATCCTGGCAGAGGATGTCTGTGGGCTGGCTGGTCATCACTTGGTGTCACCCAATTCATTGATTCAAAATTAGGTCATGTTCAAGGATAAACAGACCTGAGCTTTTGCCATTCAGTATGGTAGTCCTTGTGTTATTGAGTACTAGTTTATACCTGGACCTTGAGCTAGTTGCTACTGGACACATTTTCCTAGTTGTCTGAGGGAGAAGGGTGTAGATGGAAATTTCTGTCCTGCCAAGTCTCATGGCTGTTTAGTCCCAAATAAACACACAGAGGCTTACATTAATTATAAATTGTTTGGCCGATGACTCAGGCTTCTTATTGGCTAGCTCTCTCTTAATTATTAACCCATTTCTATTAATCTGTGTATCATTGCAGAGCAACCTTGGGTGACTCTCCAGGCAGCCAGCTGTTTCTGTCATCTCACATTTTTTTGGAAGTCACTTGCTCGCACTTCCTGTTTACTCAGTTAATATTATTTCCTTGGATCTCTGAGGGAGTTGAAGACTAGATAGTATAGTTATAGTTTTCCTTGTTTACCAGACTCAGTAAAGGAACTCACTAAAGTTGTGTTAAGTGTAATAGGTTTGAAAGACATTAAAAGATAATTTGATAATGCAAATTAGAATAGAAAGTAAATTAGGCACAAGACTTTGGACTCATCAAGACAGAATAGATAAGGGAGTACTTTCTCTGAATTTGTCAAATGCTAATTGACTAGACATTGTTGATATACATTTGTCTCTATATATCATATATAGTTATTATAGTTATTGTATATAGTTTTTCTTATATTAGTTATAACCTTTTTAAAATTTTAGACATAAAAGGGGATATGTGGTGATATCTTGCTTGTACAAATAAAGCCTGTCTGAGGGTCAGAGAATGGAGCTTGCACTAGCTAACCATAGAGGTCTGGAGGTCTGTACCGACAGACAGGAAGTGAGGTAACTGAACAGAAACAGGATATAAGCAGGGAGAAAGAGGAACTTGTCAGCTGAGATGCTAGGTAAGGCGTGGCTGTGGCTTGCTCCTTCTCTCTGATCTCTCAGCGTTTTTCTCCATATCTGATCCTGGGATTTTATTAATTAGACCAATTAAGAACTCCATTTACAGAAGAATTAGTTTCTCTGCTGGTTGTACTCTGCTTCTATACCTGGCTCCCTTCTGACTACATAGTCCCTCTATTTTAGGGCTGTGAGATTCTAATCAATGGGATGCTGTTCTGCCAGACCCACAGAGGGCTTCTGTGTGAGCCCTAGATCCTACCTAGTATTAGTACTTGGGCGCCTTGGGTTACTTTCCAATCTCATGACAAGCTGGACATTGTGACAGAGTGAGATGGGAAGATAGGTAATGAAGATTAATATCTTCCTTTTGCCTCATGGATGGCCTTGTTACTCAGGCAACAAAGGCTGCAGGTTGTTGCTATAGGTGACAGACCTCCATTATTAGAATGCTGCTGTGACAGAATTATATACACTCTAGGACATGGAGTGGCAGGAGTGAACAATGTAACATGGTGATCTAAGTCAGCCTCTAAGCTGAGGACAGCTAGAGGAACAATTGGTGGCCTTGGGAGCCATCCACCCCCATGGCTGCATAGGTCTGAGTGTTTGCATGTTGAACAGGCAAGTTCACAGCGGTAAAGCTCTATTGGGTTTGCTGTGTCCCACCTCACTCCTCAATGGTATGTGTTTTCTCATTTCTGTGGGATGACTTTGCTGGTAGAAGCAAAGGCCTCATTCTCTTGCACTGCTGATAACTCATAAGGATTTATAGCATGCTATGGTGCAAGTTCTAGACTTTTATGAGTTGGGAAGCCCAGGACACTATATAGACCTATAGTAGGAAAAGCAGGGACTGCATGTGCTCATGCAGTCCCCTGGGGACTACAGGAAGGGGCTGCTTCATTTTGCAGGTGTGTATCTTACTCTGGGCTGGATGCAGGCAGTGCCACATGAGCTAGAAGGTGGCAGTGATGCAGGAGTGAGCAAGCCAACAGGGTTCAGCCTTCAGAAGGATGCCAAACCAACCAAGATGAAGGCTCCATCCTTGGAGCTGTGGGCCACTATTCTATTGCAGAGGAATTTTGGTTTCCCTGGCTCTCCTCAGCACCACCATCACCACCCACTCCCACTTGTCCCTTTTTACCCCCTTCCTCCCTTCAAAGGGAATCCAGGGAGTTGAGATTTATAGGTGGGTGAGACAAGAATCTTTATTTCTGCTAAAGAGCAGTGCTCAGAGTATTTCCCATTCATAAACCCTTTGAAAACCTTGGAGGAATAAAAAAAAGACTATCATACAAAAGTAGGAAGCTACATCTAAATATATAACTTGGCCTGGTATTTATGTAAGGCTCTCCTCAGAAGAGCTCAGAATGCTTAAAAGGCACCAACCAGCTCATTCATCACAGCCTTCCTGGCTCTGGATCTTTCTCCTTTGTAGCCCCAGGGGTCTTGGGGAGAAATGAGAAGATGTAACTAAACTTTCAGCACAGGACTACCGGGCCTCTCACTATCTGTTCTGGCGCCATGGTGGACTTTACCTTTAACTGCAGAGTCAAGTGGGATACTGAAGCCAAGGGAGGCCAGATGTTCTGCAGGAGGAATTCCAACCATTATGCTTTGGGCAATATTGCACATAGAAGTGACATTGCTCTTTTGGTTTAGGATATGAAGTAATTAACTGCTTACTCTGGAGAAATGTCAGGATACAAAGTAATTGGAGAAGTGCATGGTCATTGTTGGCTTGGCAGGGCTGGGGTAAAGTCTGGTGAGAGCCATTTCCAAGTTCTGAAGACTAGGGTCATTTAAAATGTGCCTTTGAATGCACATATCGTGTTTGTCTTTCTGGGTCTGGGTTACTTCACTCAGGATGGCACTCTCTAGTTCCATCCATTTGCCTGCAACTTTCAAGATACCACTTTTTTTTTAATTATTATTTTATCACTGAGTAATATTCCATTGTGTAAGTGTACCACATTTTCCTTATCCATTCTTCAGTTGAGGAGCATCTAGGTTGATTCCAGGTTATGGCTATTAAGAATAATGCTGCTATGAACATAGTTGAGCAAGTGTCCTTGTGGTGTGAGTGTGCATCCTTTGGGTATATGCCCGACAGTGGTATTGCTGGGTCTTAGCCTCCACTCATTCTTGAGCATCCCAAGGTTCTTAAAAGCATAGTAAGTTGGTCAGATGAAAGAAGTGTGAGCCTGTTGTGTGTGGCCCCTAGGCTGTAAGTGCCAGAGAAGTGGGCTTGTTGGTGGCCCTAGCTCCTAGCACTGTGTTGAACGTTGGGAATCTGAAGTAGTAGTTGTAAAGGTTCTTTTGTAGGCCTCGGGAGTGTGCACTGGCTCACCCTCTGCTTTGATTGCTCATATGGCTTCTCAAACCACCCCTTTCACAGACCCAGCCCGTGTCCTCAACATGCCCCCTGTCATTTATGTGCCCGTGGGAATCCATGGCTATATCCGCTGTCCTGTAGATGCAGAGCCACCTGCTACTGTGGTGAAGTGGAATAAGGATGGCCGGCCACTGCAGGTAGAGAAGGTACGAGTGGGATGCACGTTGGGACTTGGAATGAGGAGCATCCTTCTGACAATAGAGATGCTGCCTCTGGGCTCTGGTTCTCTGCCAGCCCACTCCTCCTAAAAAGCCTAGGAAAACAAAGAGCAATGATCTGGCAGGAGTTTGGCTGCAGTCCATGCCCACAGGGGATGCCAGTGCCAGATGAACTGCTATTCTGTCCTAGACTTGGTCTAGCCCAGCTCAAACCCTGCCTGGAAGTGGTTGGGGTGCAGCGCCTGTGTCCTGACCATGGTTCCCTGCTCTCTTATCTATGTCTGGCAGAACTTGGGTTGGACCTTGATGGATGATGGCTCTATTAGAATTGAAGAGGCCACAGAGGAGGCTCTTGGCACTTACACCTGTGTGCCTTACAACACCTTGGGGACTATGGGCCAGTCTGCCCCTGCACGGCTTGTCCTGAAGGTGAGTCTCCAGGACTGTGCATGGTCCCTGTGGTGGGCAGTCTTCCTGTGGGCAACCTTTCACACCTGTCTCTGGGCTTCCATTAGGACCCCCCGTATTTCACGGTGCTACCAGGCTGGGAGTACAGGCAGGAGGCCGGCCGGGAGCTGCTCATCCCCTGTGCAGCTGCAGGGGACCCTTTCCCTGTCATCACCTGGAGGAAGGTACCTGGGCTTTGACACTCTTGCGCTGTGGGGGAGGCAGGGAAGATCCAGTGATGGTTCTGCTTGGACCTGTGTGGACAGGCCAGATGTTAGGAGGAGAGGCAACATTAGTGGATAGTGGTGGGGTGTTGGCAATGGGCTCAGGAATTGCAACCCCATCTTCATCCTCTTCAGACTCCTGAGTTGTAAGCGCTCATCCCTTAACCTGAATCCCTGCTCCCATCCTCTTCCCTGCTCCTTGTTTGGCTAAGGTAGGGAAACCCAGCAGAAGCAAGCACAACGCCCTGCCCAGCGGGAGTCTCCAGTTTCGTGCCCTGAGTAAGGAGGACCACGGGGAGTGGGAATGTGTTGCCACCAATGTGGTCACAAGCATCACTGCCAGCACCCACCTCACTGTCATCGGTACGTGCTTGGGTAGGCCATCTGGGGTGACTTTTCTCACTCTGCAGGTGTCTTTCCTAAGTCAGACTAAGGACTACAACCTGAAACCCTTGGCCTCAGGGGATTCTGGCAGGGAGGGTCAGGATCCACATTTGTTTGTCCTGTCTTGGGGAGGGCAGGCCTGTGGAAACTGGAGTAGAAAGAGTGAGAATCAGATGTGGCTCCTTAGCCAGGCCCTGAGCTGCCTGGGGACAGGGCTGGTGTCCGTAGCCTGGGGCAGGAGGAAGTGACTAATACTCCTTGTTCTGATTACTCAGGACATGTCAGCCTATGTGTACCCTGCCCCTTTGGGGCTTGACAGTTACAGTTGTACTCAAAGCCAATACAGTATTTTTCTGCTAGTTTAGGCAGAATAAAGTGGTCTGCATTTTGTCATTCACAACCTAGCCAGGGAGCTTCTGCTCAGAGTTATATCCTTCCTACCTGGTTGGTGCTGACTTTATACCTGGGCCACTGTTGTCTGTTGTGTGGGACATGGCCATCTCTTGTAGCTAGAGATTAAGGAGATGTGATTTTTGGGTTTCCCAGGATGTCAAGGGAATGGTTTTTAGTTCACAAGATGCATGGGAATTTGGTCAGGATGAGAAAGATTCTGTTTTTCCTCTGGCCCATGTTCCTGCTGGTGATGCTAGGCTTTGTAGTGGGTGGGCTTTTCTTTCTGACTCCAGCAGGGCCAAAGTGGGCCTGGGATCCTGCCCTGGCTGCTGGCGCTTCTTGGTACTACATGCTTTGACCTCTCCTGGATCTCCTGCAAGATGATGGGAATGAGCAAATAGGCTCAGCTTCTTTTGGTCTGAGCTGTCTTCCTTGGTCTCCAGGCACCAGTCCCCATGCCCCAGGCAGTGTCCGGGTCCAGGTCTCCATGACAACTGCCAATGTGTCCTGGGAGCCAGGCTATGATGGAGGCTACGAGCAGACATTCTCAGTTTGGTACGGACCTCTGTGAGTCAGCCCCGCATGCTTTGCTCTCTGCTTCTCCCTCCCTTGCCCCAAGTAGGGCATCCAGTTTGCCCCATCCCATCCCATCCCATCCCATTAAATCAGTCCCATCCCATCCTGGGGTGGGTGGTGGGCCCAAGGAGACTAGGATCTGTACTTGCCAGCTCTGCAGATAGTCGAGTGGGCCAGGCAGTGATGGAGTTCTTAAGGATGCTAGGGATGTCTATAAAGGACTCAGTGCATCCTTATAGTACCACCCTGGAGGTTAGAATGCTGATTTGGGCTTAAATCATCCCATCCCCGCTCTATTCTCTCTTTGGTATCTCTCAGTGCCCCCTGATTTCATGTCTTACTTCAGTCTTTCTCTAGGTTCCTAACCTTGACAGTGTTGTAAAATAGCACATGAAGTGTAGGGTCTAGTTTTTATTCTGTTCCTTGCCAGGAGGTCCCAGGTACCAGTTAGGAGAGCAGGTGCTCTCATCCCTGCCCTTGCCTCCACTGTCCATATTTTCTCTAGGATTTTGTACAGGTCATTTTCATGTCTGGTATCAAACCAGATCAGTGAATTAAGTTCCTTGCCCAAACCTCAGGGTAGCTAGACCTCACAAATGCATGGACCAGGATGAGGACCCAAGGCATGGGATGCTGTGAAGAGAAGCTGAGTGGCTCTCCCTTCCTTTCCACATCTCTTGGGCTTCTCATGGCTGACATTTCTGTCCCGACCGGGAACTGGAGCCTCCAGCTTCACAGACTTCCTCAAGTGGGGAAGATGAACTGTTTACTTCCTTCTCCTTCAGCCTGTTCAGTCTGAATCTGGGGAGGAGGAACCAGCACATGTAGACCTCAGAGCGAGGCTTCAACAGCATGGGCTTGAGGGGGTCTTCTGTTTCCCTGGCAGTTTTCAGATTGTATGCATATCAGGGGAGTTTTGAGATCCCTGTGGATGAACTGTACCTGGATTGTCTGTGTCCCTCAGAGTTGGGCAAGGGTGTCATGTGGTGTGGCATAGCTGTTTGCTGGGATAGACGGGGGACATTTGGGCACAGATATGGGCTCCCTTGTGGCCTGTGGTGCTGTTCTACACTGCTGCTCATCTATACCACCTTTTACCACATTCTGTTCACTTGCTTTTGGGAGGGAAGGGCAGTTGCCAAGGTAGATGAGGTTTTCTCCTTCTATCTGGCAGGCCCTAGCTCATTGTACTGATATAGTCATTTGGCTCCTGCTGATTTTTCCTCTCCTCCCCCCCCCCCCGTTTCCTTCCCATGCTTTCTTTTGGTTCTGCCCACATTGTTGGGCATACCCAGTAGCAGTGAGTCTTAAAACCTAGAGAGGAACCTGTGGGTTCAGGTTGAGTTACAGCTCAGGGCTGCATCGAGCAGGCCAGTTACCCAGGACAATGTCTCCTCCCTGTGGTGTCATCTGGAACTGCACCTGCAGCAGGTGGCTTCCTTGATTATTGGGAGTTGAGGAGGAGGGTGGCTTTGGAGTGGAAAACCTCACCCCCACTTCCTTTACTCTCCATCATTGTAACTTTCCCCTTGGCTGTTATTTTTAGCCTTTAAGGCTACAGGAGACCAGGTCCTACCACAAAGCAAACCCTGATCATTTTTGTTACATGCCTTGGAGATCCTCAGATGATGACCCAAGTTGGAGTGGAGCATCCTGGGTGATGGGCCCCATTTTTGTCTCTCCCTGGTAGGGTAGATAGTCAAGGTTATCCGGGATCCTTTTCTAGTCATGTCATTGCCCAGTTGCCCATCCTCAAATGCAGTGTCCCTAGTCTATCAAGACAGAGCCCATTTATAAAGCAGTGCTTACAGGGGGATTCTCTCACAGTGCAATTGGTAACCTGACCAGTATCTTCAGCATGGTTTATACCTGAGGACATCTTTTCACTGGGCAGGTACCACAGTTGGGTGTGCCCTGCTGCCATGAAAGCTGGCATAGCCAGAGCTGGGCAGGTAGCCCCACCTTGGTCATCCCTCTTCCTGCCCTTGAACCTGGGGATGCTTGTACTTCCACTGCCTTTTCCTTGGGGACCTTGCATGCATGCTATTCTCTCCAGTGTGACCCACCCCACCTCCTTCTCCCCCATCCTCTCTCTCTCTCTTTTGGCCAGGATGAAGCGGGCTCAGTTTGGGCCCCACGACTGGCTGTCCTTGTCAGTGCCACCGGGCCCCAGCTGGTTGCTGGTAGACAGCCTGGAGCCTGAGACTGCATACCAGTTCAGTGTCCTGGCCCAGAACAGGCTGGGAACCAGCGCCTTCAGTGAGGTGGTCACTGTGAACACTTTAGGTGAGGCCCTGGGCTGGTATGTATTGGGGCTATTTCCTAGCAGACATAGGCTACATAAAGGTGATGGTAGTAATAGGGCTTAGTGTGTGCCAGGTCCTTACTAAGTGTTCTCTGTAATGATTTCTTCTGATCTCCCTGGAAGTATTTGCCGTATTCTTTTGTTGGGTCTGCCTGATCCCATATGGTGGCATTTTGGCTATGTTCCCGTTGAACCCTCAGATGGAGTGGAGAGGTTCAATAGCATGTATGAATGTTTGGCAGTTTTACAAGGGGATGGGGAGTTCTTTTGAGTTATCTGACTGCAGTTGTATGTCTTCTGGGGGTCCAAGAGCAGGCCTTGGCAAGCAGACTCTTCTCTGGTGGACTGGAGGTCATGGCTCCAGCCCCCTTTCTGTCCCATGGATGGCAGCTGTAAAATGATCACCCCAAACTGAAGTTCCTGTTCGAAACTGAAATTCCTCTACTGGGTTTCATTTTGTTTGTTTTTGAATCGGTTCTCACTGTGTAGCCCTGGAACTCATTTTGTAATAAGCTGGCTTGAACTCAACTGTTCAACTGATCTGCCTGTCTCTGCCTCCCAAGAGTTGGGATTAAATGTGTACACCACCAAGCCTGACCTGGGCCTCATTTTGGGTTCGAAGGCCCCAAATGGAATCAAAAGTATGGCTTATGTGTTGTGAGAAGAGCTTACCAGTCTTGGGATGAGAACAGCAGATAAATCGTGTACTTCTTGGTAGTGGGGAAAGCATCAGAGGAAACCACATCTGAGAAATGTGTCATTAAGCAATGAAGTCATTGTGTAGATGGCATAGCACACAAGATGATGATGCAACCAAGAAATACAGTGAACTTTAGATCCATGGAGCTGATGCTGGCAGAACAGGGTGGGCTGTTTCCACTGGGAATCTTTCTGTTGTTGGAGTACACTCTAGCCATAAAAAATATAGTATAGTAAATACATAATGTTATGTGTCCTGCAGTGCCATAGATTTGTTCACACCAATGTACATTAAGTATGTGAGGAACCTGTTATTCTCTATTACAGTGTTTACTCTTTTACTAGCTGATAGGAATTTTTCAGCTCCGTAATTTCATGGGGCCACCATTGGGGATGTTGCTGATGTAGGTGTTATGTGGCATGTGACTGTACTCTGCACTAGATTCTTCGCTCTTCTCCATGGTGCTTGATGCTTCCTCCCTTTTGAGGAGGTTTTTAGTTGTCTTGCAGTTGTCCTATTATGAAAAAAGTCCCAGGGCTCTGGGTCACCAGCCCTGACTTCTCTTTCCTAGAGACAGGAGGGTTACTGTAGGTCATGCCCTCTTACCTCTCTGAAACAAACTCATTCTTCATTAGCCTCTGTTTCCCACATTGGGTTGGGGATCTGTGGCCATCATCTTTCTTCTTCCTTTTCCTTCTGTAGCATTCCCTGTTACAACTCCAGAACCCCTGGTGCTGGTGACCCCACCAAGGTGCCTCACAGCCAACCGGACCCAGCAGGGTGTGCTCCTGTCCTGGCTCCCACCTGCCAACCACAGTTTCCCCATTGACCGATATATCATGGAGTTCCGAGTTGGGGAGCGCTGGGAGATGCTAGATGATGGCATTCCAGGCACTGATGGAGACTTTTTTGCCAAGGATCTGTCACAGGTAGGGACTTTAATTTTCTTGCCTCTTATTCCCAGTTTCTGGAATTGTCATGACTATTTGTAAAGCCACTGACCATCAAGTGATCCACCTCAGGAGCATAAGGTCAATCTCTGCACTGGCCCTCTTTATTTGGGGTCTTAGACTCTACCTAGTCTGAGGGTTGGATTGGTCCCCACACCAGAGCTATCTTAGTGGCATTGGGGACCAGTACTACACAGATGGTTTTCCTCAAATACAGACCCTTACTAGGGTAAGGCAGGGTGAGGCCAGTAGGAATCATCAGACCCTCAGTTTCCTGGGTTCCATCTGGGGTGGCCTAAGGAGGCTCTAGAAAGGTGTCTTTTAGGCTGGCCAAGAGAAGGGCTCTTCTATTAATAATTCAGAGTCCTGGAAGAAAATACATTTCCTCTTTCTTTTTTTTTTGTAGACATCTTTTTTCTTGAGAGAGAAAGCAGCTTGCTTCCTAGATAGAAGAGCTCTCATGTATCTTTCTATTTCTCCTTTCCTGAATGTTCCTTATGGCCACTGGAATTGACTCATGATGCCGTTTAAGAGTCCATCATGCATCTATCTTTGCAATTTTCATTGGCCTCATGTGTGCAGCTCAAAGCCCATAGCCTGAATGGTGGGAATATGCACACTATAACATTGGCCATTGCAAGCAGTCACCATTATACACTTCCTGGGACCAGTGCTCTGGGTACTCTGTTCTGTGGAAGCCATGCACAGGGTCAGTGGCTGTGGTCCTAAGCCCTGTAGCTGACTGGGTATTGTCCCTGGATTGCAGGATACCTGGTATGAGTTCCGGGTTTTGGCTGTCATGCAGGATCTGATTAGCGAGCCCAGCAACATCGCCGGTGTCTCCAGCACAGGTACTTTTGGGTCCCCAGATTGTCTAACAGCAACCAGGACATAAGCCTTAGAGCCACATGAGAATCCTTTTGTGGAATAGATAATCTGGGAGGACAGGCTGGGTTAGAAACATAAGTAGGAGTCTAGTTGAAACCTTGTGAGTCCTAGCATTTCTGAAGTCCATCAGATTTGTGATTCCATGACATGTAACATTTTATGCCACCTTGGAGCTGGGCTTCTGATACTTTTGTAAGATGGCTGAGAAAGGAAATCCATTTCATCTTGTCAGTGTGTGCTGCTTGCTATACATTTTCTGTTTGCTCTCGAGCTATGCTGTGTGATGGGGCGGGCACCATGAATTAGAGGGAGGATGCAGCAGGTCAACAAGTGTTTGTTGGATGCCTATTATAGGCTTCCTTATAATTATGTGGGTTTTATTTGGAAAATTGTTGTTTGGTGTTGTTTTCCTTCCTTCCTTCCTCTCCCTAGAGGGTTTTTTTTTTCAGACTAAATAAAGCCAACTCCCAGCATTTTCTCCATTTATCTTTCTTTTTCTTGGCACTGGTCCCATTTGCACATATCTTCGCTCCATTCCAGAGTTCCTGAAACACAGCAGAGACCCTCTACAGGGAAGTGGTGTCCTTGGGAGAGGCTCTTGCTTAGTAAGCCAGCCAAGGCACCATTTCCTTGGGTGCAGCATGTAGTTAGATCCCTGAGACCAAGTTGCAGAGGCCTTGGTGAGAAAGCTCTTATAGGGAGCTTCTTGGAGTTTCAAAAGCATTGGTGTGAGCAGATGGGAGGAGAGAAGTGGAGCCAAGGGCACATGGGGAAGGGGAGAGTGTGACTCTTTCTTTCTTTCTTTCTTTCTTTCTTTCTTTCTTTCTTTCTTTCTTTCTTCCTTTCCTTCTGTATTTGGTACCCTGGGGTTTATGTAAACTCAAGTTATCTCCCATAGGCAGCAAAGCTGAGCTGCTTCTGTTTTGGCTGCCCTCCAGGGAAGAGACTCAGAGAGATGGAAGAACATAGAAAAATAGCTTCCAGCAAGAGCCAAAGTAGAGGACTCGAGGGTTTTACATACTCAGTTCCATGAACCGTTCTTACTCAGTAGCCTTGCCTGGCCCCCCAAAGTAAAGGAAGCATGCCTAGTTAGACAGTCTTGTATAGGTGAATGAGGCTGCAGCAATAGCAGCATTCTCTGTAGTTAACTCCTCTATTTTCCAAGACTATGGTCCATCAGTGTGTGGATTCTTTCTATCCATTATCATTATTGACATGGCAGTGAACTCTGGCCAGCCATATCACAATGTTCTGAGTTTCCCTTCAGTGTTCTTTAAAAGTGGCACTTACTGATCCCATGGCCTATGTGTACAGAACAATGGGCTTGGGTTTGGCCCTGGCTCTGTCACTAACTGGCCTGTGAATCCTGCATAGACCTGTGGAAGGGGGAACTGAGCCCATCCTCTCTACAGCTCCAGTCGGCTTCTGGCTAAGATATACTAGTCCTTGCTGTAGGAATCTACCAGCCTGTACTATAAGGAGTTAGAAGACGGATGGGCCTATATTCTATCCTAACAGTTCCTCTCCCTGATTTAGAATTGCATTCCCAAGGTATCTTCATTCTATAGATGGCATGGGAGAAAGCAGGAAATCCTGACTGGAAATTGGAACAACTGTGCTCCTGTTAGGGTACTAATAGCGGAGTGAGCCAGTCCCTCAAGCTTCACCAGTTAGAGAATGGGAGTGTGGATAAAGCTCACAGAGTTACTAAGGGAGGCCTGATAGATGTATGGGAATGATTTGCCACTGACAGTGATAAACAGCTATAGAAGATGACTGCGGACTATCCTCAGGAGGGAAGATGTGGGTGCCATTTCTTCTTTGTAAGCTACAAGGAAGTTACTTGACTCTCATAGACTGTCCCTTTCTTACCTCTTTTCACACTGCTGCACCAGCCTCTTTAAAAGCTCATGTTAGAACCATGTGTGGAGGCCAGGCCCCAGCCCTGTCTGCCCTAGGGAAAAGGCCCTAGGGATCGATCAAATGTCAGAATAGGTGGGGAAAACTCTGGCAGGCAAGAGACCCATGAGTGCTTCTGGCCTTCCTTGCAGACATCTTCCCACAGCCAGACCTGACCGACGATGGGCTGGCCCGGCCAGTGTTGGCTGGGATTGTGGCCACCATCTGCTTCCTGGCAGCTGCCATCCTCTTCAGCACTCTGGCTGCCTGCTTTGTCAACAAGCAGCGTAAGCGCAAACTCAAGCGGAAGAAAGGTAGGTGTTTGTCTTCTCTCCATGTTTGGCTAAGGTTCTTTAGGAGGAGGCAGGCAAACCACTTGTAGTATTTCTCCTCTGGAAAAAGGGATACAGGGATCTTGCAGGCAGACTTGTCAGTGGGATTGGATTTGATTTCTAAAATATTTTTGTTCATTTCTGGAAAATTCCATACATGTATTGTCTTCCCCCACCCATCTACCTCTAGCTCCCTCTAGGACCCACCAACCAAGCTCCATCCCCACTTCATGTCTTCTTTTTATCATCATCATCATCATCATCATCATCATCTTCATCATTATGGCAGAGAGTCCAGGCTGGCTTCAAACTCAAAATTCTCTTGCCTTGGCCTCCCAAGTACTTAGATTATAGGCATGTGCCTCCATGCCCTGCGGGACTTGATTTGAAAAGGGGAAGAAGAGAGCAAGGGTATTGCAGAGAACAGAATGGGCCAGGGCTGCAGGGAGAGAGGGCCTCTGAGATGGGCATAGAACTGCCAGGCAAGTGACATGAAGCCTTTCCCTCTGTGACTTTATATCAGGACTCTCTGTTGATCCTCCGTGCCCCATCCGGGTATAGTGTACCAGTTTTTTGTGGGGGCTCAGGCTTCTTCCTTTGGTTTTCCTTCCAGATCCTCCGCTCTCCATCACTCACTGTAGGAAGAGTCTCGAGTCTCCGTAAGTATCTCTGGCTGTTGGAGGTCTGTAGGTAAAGGGGGAGGCTGGACGTAGGTAAACTATTAGTTTTGGTTGGCCCCATTTCCCTAAGATATTTCACATTTGCAGATTGACGTGTCAATTTTAAGTGTCCACATGGATTGAAGGAGTATAGTATGGATGGTCCAAGCTAGTAACTTATTTATTTAGCCTTGAGGGTTTTTTGTTTTGTTTTGTCCTTTGCTTTTCTAGAGTCAGTGTTAATATTAGCTTGCATTTCTTGAGCAACTAGGGAATCGAATTGGAGTTGTGTATAGGCAGGGTGTACCAAATTTAGGGGCTGGCCAGAAGAAAAGTAGCAATGTGGGTGTTCCTTCTAAAAATGGATGCTACGTGTCTAGACAATTGGCCAGAGTTTCTGACCAAAATATTCAGCCCATCCATGTGTGTTTCCTTTAGAGCTACTGTTAAGACAATGGAAAGAAGCTGTAGGCTGTGTACAGCATCCCTTCTCACCTTCTGTTCCTGTCGCTTACAGCTTGTCCTCTGGCAAGGTGAGTCCTGAGAGCATCCGGACACTCCGTGCCCCATCCGAATCCTCTGACGACCAGGGCCAGCCTGCAGCCAAGAGGATGCTGAGCCCTACAAGGGAAAAAGAGCTGTCCTTGTACAAAAAGACCAAGAGAGCTATCAGCAGCAGGAAGTATAGCGTGGCCAAGGCTGAGGCTGAGGCTGAGGCCACCACACCCATAGAGCTGATCAGCAGAGGCCCCGATGGCCGCTTTGTCATGGGCCCTTCTGAGATGGAGCCCTCAGTGAAGGGCCGGCGAATTGAGGGTTTTCCCTTCGCTGAGGAGACGGACATGTACCCTGAGTTCCGGCAGTCAGATGAGGAGAATGAAGACACACTGGTGCCCACATCTGTGGCTGCTCTGAAGCCTCAGCTGACCCCTATGTCTTCCAGCCAGGACTCTTATCTGCCACCACCAGCATACAGCCCTCGGTTCCAGCCTCGTGGGCTTGAGGGCCCTAGTGGACTGGGAGGACGACTCCAGGCTACTGGCCAAGCGAGGCCCCCTGCCCCTCGGCCTTTCCACCATGGCCAGTATTATGGGTACCTAAGCAGCAGCAGCCCTGGGGAGGTGGAGCCTCCACCCTTCTATATGCCAGAAGTGGGCAGTCCCTTGAGCTCTGTCATGTCATCCCCACCCCTGCACACCGAGGGACCTTTTGGCCACCCCACCATCCCTGAGGAAAATGGAGAGAATGCTTCCAACAGCACTTTGCCCTTGACTCAGACACCTACGGGAGGGCGCTCCCCTGAGCCCTGGGGCCGGCCAGAATTTCCCTTTGGGGGACTGGAGACCCCAGCCATGATGTTCCCCCATCAGCTGCACCCCTGTGATGTGGCGGAGAGTTTGCAGCCCAAGGCCTGCCTGCCCCGAGGACTGCCCCCAGCCCCCCTCCAGGTGCCTGCAGCCTATCCAGGCATGCTATCTCTGGAGGCGCCAAAGGGCTGGGTAGGCAAGTCACCTGGCAGGGGCCCCATCCCGGCGCCCCCTACCACCAAGTGGCAGGACAGACCTATGCAACCTCTGGTCAGCCAAGGGCAGCTAAGACATACCAGCCAAGGTATGGGGATACCGGTGTTGCCTTACCCCGAGCCAACAGAGCCCGGGGGGCATGGTGGCCCCAGCACATTTGGCCTGGACACCCGGTGGTACGAGCCCCAGCCCCGGCCCCGGCCCAGCCCTCGGCAGGCCCGGCGTGCCGAGCCCAGTTTACATCAAGTGGTGCTACAGCCCTCCAGGCTCTCACCTCTGACCCAAAGCCCCCTTAGTTCCCGCACTGGCTCTCCCGAACTAGCTGCTCGTGCCCGACCTCGACCAGGCCTACTGCAGCAGACAGAGATGTCAGAGATCACCCTCCAGCCGCCAGCCGCGGTCAGCTTCTCTCGCAAGTCCACGCCATCCACGGGATCTCCTTCACAGAGCAGCCGCAGTGGGAGCCCCAGCTACAGACCCACCATGGGCTTCACCACTCTGGCCACAGGCTACCCTTCTCCTCCACCGGGCCCTGCCCCTCCCGCACCAGGGGACAACTTGGATGTGTTTGGACAGACATCTTCCCCTCGGAGAATGGGGGAGGAGCCACTCCGGCCAGAGCCCCCAACAACCTTACCTAGTTCAGGGTGAGTGTAAGCCACTGTCTCTGGCCCACTTCTGGTCTAGCTCTCCATGCTTTACTCTGTCCCCTACCTCCCCAACATCCCAACAACTTTGTTGGGACATATTGGGACCCCTGGGAGAGGAGCTCTGGCCACACATGGGCAGGGTGTCTTCACTGGGAATGATGGGGTTACCAGCTGGTACCCTGCCAGGAGCTTTACGTGTCTCCTCACCCAGCCTAGACTTCGGTGAAGGCTCTCCGTGTATCAGGAATGTGGGAAAGGGGAAGAGAACAGCATAGCAGGCAGCGATGTCTGTGAATACTGCCTTTGAGGTTGAGGCTGACCACATCCCCGTGTTCAGCGGTGTTGGGTAGCGGTGGTTCTCTGCAGTTGCCCACAGATTTTGTGTCTGAGTCTCCTCCCATAGCCACTCTGCACCAAGCAGGACCACTGCTGGGGGGGCTCCATGTGTACACATAGTGTGACCCTTAGCATGCTCAGTAAGTGCTGAACCCCAGGCTGTCCTTAGTCTCTCCAGGAAGATGCCCCTGGAGGCTGAGAACAAGCTCAGACCTGTGTGTGGGGAGCCATATCCCTGCCTGCCTGTGTGCCTCACAGGAAGCTACAGAGAGACAGACAGACAGACAAGCTCCCGAGATCTGCCCATCTGAGAGAGCACACTCTGTATTGTAGCAGCTGGTATTCCAGGTACCAGTTGGCCTGGATGCCTGTCTGTACCTCTTCTGTCCACCTGCCCTCCTCCCTTCTTCCTAGCCTTTGTTCCTTTTCAAGTTAGTCCATGTTCCTCTTTTCCTTCTCCATTGCCTCGAGGTTGACCCAGTTTGCTCTGAAGAGCCTGCCATGCCTCTGCTGTGCCCACCCGACCCTCTTCCTTTGCCTGGCCCTCATCCTTTCTCCCTTCTATTTCTCACTCTTTCTCTTGGGTTCAGTGCTTTGGTCTCTCTTCTTGATATAGTGGCCTGTGGAAGGGAGCAGAGTTCCAGAGGAGGCTGTCCTGGTGGTGGGGGGATGGGAGGTAGCTGGAGAGGAGGGAGCCCAGCCCTCCCACTCCCTCTACTCTGGTCGCTGGAAACTGCAAGCTTACCTCAGTGCTAAGGTGGGCGCTCCTGGTGGGCAGGCTGTGTGGGAATCCTAGAGGCTAGAGAGGGGCCCTGCCTCTGCTGTCGTCACTCCCTGTCTGTGCCTTGTACAGCCTGCTCACGTCTCTGTTACATCATGCCTTTGGTTCTCTGACTCTTTTCCCTCACCTATTCTCTGGCCTGTGGGTCTCTGATGGCTATGCCCCCTCCTCCCCTCTGGGTGTGCGTGGGTGGTTCATCTGGCCGCTGTTGGTAACTGCTTTGTTTCTGATTATCTCAGCTATCTGGGCAGTGTTGTCGAGACAAGCCTCTCCTCAGCTCAATAGGTAAGGGAGTTCATCGGCGGGGCGGGGCAGGGTGGGCAGGTGGATGGGGCTTCGGCAGGGCCATTGCTTCTGTAAGAGGGGATCCAAAACACATCCCTTCATTGCCCCACCTGGGCAGCTGCTGCTCCTGGGTTCCCATGGCTTCTGGGTTCCCCACATTGCACTGCTCTGCTGCTCCAGCTGCCCAGCTGGCCATGCTGGAGCACTGCCTAGCTGTAGCTTTTATCCTCCAAGCCCACACCCACCTTTCTAGGATGGGCTGCAGTTGTTGTCACTCAGACCCTTGCCATCCTGCTGCCAACACCCACAGAGACCTCCACAGCAGCTGCAGGACCCCGCATGAACCCCAAAGGACCCAGAATTTCCATGATCAGCTTTGCGTCTGTACCCTTGGGGGACCTGTTTGGGTCCATAATGGGTTCCAGGTTCCTCTCATCCTCTCCTCCTCACTGCTCAGTTTCCCCAGCAGACTCAGGGATAGTGTCCTTCCTGCCAACCCCTCCCCCTAAACTCAGGTCTTTTCCTGGGGTTGCTAGTCCCTACTTTTCCTGGGGCTCTTCATGGTAGAGGTCCCTCTTCTGCATCCCTCTGAGTCCTCAGGGTCAGGTGGCTTCCAGGTCTTCGGAAGGTGGGAAGTGTAACCACTCCCTACACCCCTTGCATTCTGCAGCCCTTTCATGGTTGTTGCAGGACTGAAAGGTGACCTCGTCCTTAGAGTCACATTGCTTTCAGCATCTGAGGAGTAGCCATGCTGTCCTCGTGGGTCTTGTTCTTAGGAAATGGCCTTGGGAGAACTCATGCCAGGAAGAAGAGAGTTGAGTTGGCAAAAGCTGAAAACCCTAGAGATCAGCACTGTGCTCTCCCCTGCTGTGACTGGCTCCTCCAACATCCTTCCAGGTGGAATCTAAAAGAAGGGGCTCCCAGGCAAGGGGTCAGGTATCTCTTTAAAGATGCTTATGACACTCAGAGCTCCTTGTCAAGATAACCTAAAGAGATGTTTGTTTTTGCATATGCTCCGTTGCCCATCCTTTAGGACTGGCCAACTGCACCAGGCCCCTCTGTGGAAGGGAGGGTCCTTTTGCATTGGTGCTTTGGCTTCCTTATGAGAAGAGGCTGAATGCTTTCTTTCTCTCATACGCCATGGCAGGCTGCTCTTTGTAACTCAGGACTATAAATCTCATTGTGTCACAAGAGAGGCCTCCCAGAAAGAGACTGTGGGGACATTTTTATGACCTGCAGCTATAAAACTGTCAGTCAGTATTCAAGAGGCCCTAGTATTGTTTGAGACTGACTGACTGTCAGCCTGTGGCCATCCCTGTTGGCAGGATCATATAGTGCTTGGGAGCTCACCTGCTTCCAGGACCTCCTGGATGGATGCTACAGTGCAGGGAGAATCATTAGCTTCCCTGCCCTGTGCCTGTCCTCCCCATGATTCCCTGGCATAGCTCTTTTGTTGCCCCTGAGGTTTGGTACCCCTAGGACAGCTCTTAGCCAGTTCCTGGAAAGTAGATGGACTCAACTGTCATCTGTGATTTCCAGCCCCTGTGATCTCCCCCCACCCTCAACTCCACTGACCCTGTCTTCCCCAATGTCTTTGTCATGTCAGATCTGAGAGAACCCAGCCACATTTGTCACTGTGGCAAACCCAGAATCCAGGGGCAGCAGTGAGGGACCATTGTTCCTCTTCCAGGCCTGGCTAGCATCCCCAGACCAGAAGAAGGAAATCCTCTATGTTATCCAAGTTAGGGCCTTTGTGGTGCTAGGCAACAGGAACCTCTGCTCATTCTCCTGCTTGCTGAGAGACTCCCTGGGGCACAGGAGCTGCTGGGCCATGGGGAAATGGTGCTCCTCTGTAGATGCTGTCTTCATGCTGTGCCTTTGCATGTGTCTACCACCCCCCTGCATCCCCTTCGGTCTTGCTTGGAGAAGTTGTGATGCTTCTTGTCTGCATTTGTCCTTGCTTTGTTTCTTTCCCTTTTCAGTTTCTGTTCTTTCCTCCTGTTCATTCCTACCCCCCCACCTTTCCTCTTTCTCTCTTCCCTCTTTATCCTCTTCCCAGCTCCCATCTCAATGTGGGGAGTTGCAGTATGTGGACCTATACTTCAGTGGGTCACTGGGGGCCCAGCCACGTACTCGGTGTCCCCTGATGCTGGTAACACTCAGAGTTTCCATCTCTGTCGAGTTCTGTTTCCCCTCACAACCTACTGTACCCTCTGTGAGGCAGGGGCCTGGAAAGCCTAACCTGATCCCCTTTTATTTAGGTGTATTCTAGGAAGGAGTCCCCATTTGGACACAAACATTTCCCGATCCCTGAGGCAGAATGCTGAGTCTGCGACCTGACCCCACCAGAGAGGGATACCTTTGTGATTGGGCTGGCAGGATGCTGGCTTTCAGATTTGCGGTTGTCCCTGGTGTACATAGAGGGCACTTTTATCTTTTCCCTGGCTATCATATGTACTTGAATAGATTTCCCCATCCTTTCATGCGTGATGAGGGAAGCAAGGCTCCAGGCTATTTCTTTCTGGGCTACTGTCTAGGGGAGTAGTGGAGAACTGTGTTACTCTAGTTTACTTTTCTGTTCCGATGATAAACACCATAACCAAAAGTAACTTTGGGAAGCAAAGGATTTATTTGATTTACAGGCATGTCATTCAGGGTAGTCAGGGCCAAAGCTCAAGGGAAGAACCTGGAGTCAGGATCTGAATCAGAGACGTGGACGGACACTGCTTATTGCCCTGCTCCCAGCTTATGTTCAGTGACTTAACTGTCTTATAAAGGCCAGGCCCACCTGCCTAGGAATGGTACTACCCACAGTGGCCTGCACCGTTCCACATTTAGCAACTGAGAAAATGCCCCACATATATGCCTACAGGCCAATCCAGTGGAGGTCTTCAGGTGTGTAAAGAACTGCCATCTTGTGTGTCTTAAAGGCCAGCTCTTAGGACAGGCACTTAAGCAAGGATATGGCCAGCTGGAGTTTGACTTGCCTGGCCTAAGGTTTTCCTATGTTATAAATCTGCCACCTCATTTCTCAGCTACTCCAGGGAGCAGGGTGCTAGGCAGACAGGACCTCTTGGGTTGAATGAGTGGGATGGGAATTTTGTGTGGACTGGCATGAGGGTGGATTTTAAAGCAAATGTCGGCAATTTTTGGAAATTCTGAGCCTCAAAGAACACCACCAGGTCACAGAACTGGGATTTATATGAAATGTGAGACCAGAAAAGCTCGTCGTAAGCTTGGAGGCCTTTGTCTGTCAGTAGTATGTCTGGGTTGTCCCCTGGGAGAAGGGGAACTGAAGTGTGCAGCATTCCCATATGTGGAGAAAACTCCAAGGAGAGCAGAGCCTCACTTTGGGAGACCAGGGTTGGAGTCTGTTGGAACCACCTCACCTACAGGTCAAGTTCAGGTTTATTACAGAGTGACATGTTCTTCATCCTGATTCTTATCTCAGACACCAACGCCAAAGGTTTCTAAGCTGGAGTGGTGCCAGGTGGACTCGGCATTGACACAGGACACGATATCCTTCCTAAAAAACGGGAGGCAGGTTGATACTAGAGAGCTCTTGGTACTGTTCCTAAAATGTACTAAGAAACATTTCATGTCTTTTCTGTATCACTCATTCAAAACAGACCCATTATGTCTGTTCCTCTCTTCTCACCTGTCCTTCTAAAGACTTGCTTTTATTTTTGCTTCTGGCAATATGCAAGTATATCCTAGTGCCTCCAGGAGACATGGTCTGCTATGTTTCAGCATCTGAGTCCTGAGCTAGGAGCTCAAGCAGGTAGGCAGCAGTGTCCTTGAAGGGATGGAGCTTGGCTGCTTCTCAAGTGAAAACTGGTTTCTTTCTCGATGTGTCATTGTTGTTTTGGAGTTTATTCGGTTTGCCCTGTACCTGGTCTGTCTTGTTCCGTCTGTGACACTGAAGCAAAGGGTGGCAGTGGTCAGTGTACTGCAGAGCAGGTATGGGGAGGAGGGAGTTCTGTTTGGTCTATTATAGTCTCTGTACCAACTTTACTGGGAAGAAATTTAAGGAGTGAGTGGTTTAGTCTAACACTGAAGAATCTGCCTGATTGCTTATATCTGGCTAAGTCACCCCCCCCTTCTAAAATTGAGTTTTTCATTAGAATATGGTTAATGTAGTCTTTACCTCTTATACTCTAACAGGTGAGGTAAGTAGTAAGCACATATTATGTAATACAAATGATGATAGTAATGCTATGTTAATTGTGCTATTGGTATCCCACCCCCTGAAAATTTCAGTTACCTTGAAGGATTCTTGGGAATTTTCAGGGGGACTCTGTACCTGCTTCTTGTATAGCCTGTGCCCTAACCCCATTACTGAGGGCTTTCTCTGTGGTTGGCTGGATTGGCGCTGGCTTTTGAACTCACGGCTATCTATGGAACGCATGGAAAGTAGTTTTACCATTTCCCCAGCTATCGTGTGTTAGTAAATTGTTTTGCCCAACCTTCCATCCACAGTAGGGAAAGGCAGCTCCCATGCTGTTTCTGCCGATTGGCTAGGGGATAAGAGAGGACTATGCTGTAACTGTGTCATCAAAGGTTGTGCTGGGGAGCTATGTGCCTGCCTGTGTATCTCACCTCACACGGCCTTTCCAAATGCTGGCCAGGATTTGCATTAGAGATAGCAAATGGTGGAGGATTCATGTCTTTGATTTTCCTTTCAGGCAACACAAAGAACATTGTCCAAGCTGAGAAGGGGTCATGCAGGCTCCCTCCAAAATCCCTTCCAGCTGCAGCTTTGGGGGAAGATCTCTGGGTAGAACTGGGTTGGGAGAAGGGAAAGGGATTGGACACTGACATCTTGGGTCTTTGGAGGGACTTGGTCACACTGTGAACTAGATTGCTTTTCTATGGGGCATGGGTACCTACCTGTGTGGTATTATAGTGATGCTGGGGAGGAGGGTGGTGCTGTGTAATGTTAAGGAGCTGCCTCTGACTTGAACTTGAGAGTGTTTCTTGATACTCAATGCACTAAAAGACTTTGGAGCAAATGGCATCCATCAAGGAAGATGGAGGTTCCTTCACGGCCAATTACTTCCAGAGACCAGAGGCTTACCTGCCACAAGTCTGTAAGTTTCTTCTTCCCAGTGCTTGTAGAAGCCTTCCATGTTGGAGAAATGCTACTGTCTTTTTCATCCCTTCCTCTTTGCCCCTTCTCACTTTCCCTCCCCCACCTCAGATAGCTTGTGGACTTTTGGGGACTTCTTTGGCTCTCACAGGACTATGGGGGTTTCTTTTTTTTAAATCAGGATTTGCTACAACCTCACTGTTATGGACGTGGGGAAGGGAGATGTGGTGCTTGGAGACAAGAGAGAGTCACCTTTGTCTACCATAGCCCTGGAATGTCCCTACCTTACCTGGTCTCATGCCAATACCAGTGTTTGTGTGAAGAAAGCATGCCCCGCCTCTCTCTTGCCCTCTTTCTTCCTCAGGCTCCAAGTTGTCTTACTTTGAGAAAAACTGAGATAACATGTCTTCTCCATTTTCTTCTTTTATGACTCTTGGCAAAGCTCTCTCTATAGGCATAGTGTCACACACTGCTCTCCTTTCAGTTTGCTTTGGTTCACTTTGTGACCTAGGCTGCCCAGGCTCTGGTTAAGTGGCTGACTTGATCCATCCCATAATTGGGGTGGAGAAAGAAGGGTCAATATGTAGGCGTCTCCTCTTTCAGCAATCTGAACATTTAGGTTGAATCTTAAGCTACAGAACTCGCTGGAGACCAGTGACACACAGCAAGGACTTTGTGAGGCCATAAGAGTTAAACACTCGGCCCTGTCATAATCTCCTTCTACTCTCTTCTGTTTTCTTATGAGGCTGAGGAAGTCTGAGCCTAGTCTGCAGTGTCACGCAGACATGCCTGCTGAAGACGTTGGTGTGTCACAGCAGTTAGCTGTGAGGTTCTAGATGAATCTTGCAGAAGGAGGGAGTGGCTCTGTGAAGGTGGGTTCTGCAGAGCCCACACCTCACTGGCTACTTGCTCCTTCTTTTCTCTGGAGATGGAAGGCAGCTTGCTGGGACTGGATTGGCTCACCTCCTGCTTTAATCCGCTCTGCACTTTTTACTTAAAGGTCTTGATGATGGTGAGTTCTAGGAACCGACTCTTCTCTGGCACTTGCTTATCGCAGCCTAAGTGGTGTGTGGTGGGCTTACATTAAAGTCTCTCTCTCCTTTCCTAGGGTCTTCTGATTGCTCCACAGGTTGGTTTCCACCTGAGATAGGCCTCCTGCTGCTGGAAGCTTTCTATCGGGTTTTCTCCCTTCCAGGAGCAATAGGAAGGCAAGTGTCCAGGAGTGATCGTGGACACCCCGGACTCCATCCCTGGGCTCCACCCTTCTATGGGCAGTCCTTTGGCTTTCTTCCAGCCCTCTTCAAAGGCTCCTTTCTGGGAGCTGACCTGTGCCTCTCTAATTGTTCCTTGCAGAATACTTCCACCTGCACCCGGGAACGCTGCTGTGCCTGAGAGGCTGGAGGCTCTGAGATACCAACGGATAAAGAAGCCCAAAAAGTCATCCAAGGGCTCTTCGAAGTCAAAGAAACGATCCGGTAAATGGTGGGAAGTGCCACTCCTCTTTCCACCGTGCTTTTCCCATTTGACGAGGATTGTGGGCCCAGGATCCCAGCCTTGGGTGTCCTCTAGAAGTGAAGCCAGCTTCTCTTGTTCTTGGTTTCCTTTTTCATTTTCAATAATGCACAAATGATTTTCATATAAAAGCACAGGAAAGATATCTGATTGCCTTCCCTTCCCAGTTCATCTCTTCCCTCCTGGGGAGCCATTGCTCTGAGGGTGTGTGTGCCTGTAGAACCTTTCCTGTATTCACAGCTTTAGAAAGTCCACCATATTGTTTGAGCGTGGTTTTGAGCAACATAAGTAGTATACTATTCTTTCCCATTCTGCAGCACACCCTGCTGTTATCCCGTCTCCTTGTACGATTCTCCGTCACCATTTCAAGCCCTCTAGTTGAACACAGGGCAGGTTTGAAAGAGCTTAGGCTCACATGGCATGGACCAGTCTCTACACTGACTAACTTCTTCTAAGGAGAGAGAGCAAAATCTCCCCGTTTGCTAAAGGGCACTTCCACTGAAGTACATCTGATGCATATCCGGCAGTGATGGGTAGCTTTTGAAAGAGTGCAAAAAGAATTGTTCGCTCATTTAGAAAAGCAGTTGATGTTTATCAGATACTCTCTTTCTACATGGGAATGCTGTGGCAGCCTGTCAAGAAAGAATGTTCCGCAGTTTCTTTGCAGATCTTTGATGACTACTGTAGAGTAACTGTCTTAATAAGCCAAGCCCCTGAACTTATTGATGACTTAGCCTTTGAATGTGGCCAGTTTCCTGTCAGTTTGTTGATGGCAATACAAAGGCAGAGAAAAAGTAAATTGTCTTGTCTTGAGACTGAGTCTGGCTAGATAGCTCAGGCTGGCCCGAAACTAGCTGTGTAGCCTAGGCTAGCTCTGACCTTTTGGTCCTCTTGCAACCTTTTGATGGCTAGGATTACAGGTGTGTGCTACCATGTTCATCAAAAATGAATTTTTTGAGGTGTGTGTCAAGATTGAATTCAAAGCTGAATTTATACTCATTCAATTTAAACATATACATAATATATACATACATACATACATACATACATATATATTCCTTTTATGTGTGTGCACATTTGTCATTTAATGATAGCAACACATTCTGAGAAATGCACCATTAGATTATGTGGATACTGTGTGAATATCACAGACTATGCTTGTATTAACCAGGACAGTCACTATGTAATACAGTCCATGGAACTGCCATTGAATATATGACCTTGCCTTGGTTAAAATATTCTTATGTAGTGCATGACTGTAAATTTTAATAAATAAATTTCATCTAATTATTGTAAAGTAGGCCACATCAGGTGCACATGTTCTCGCTAGTGCCTGGTCTGTTTTAATAGCTCTTGGGTGTCTGCCTTTAGCCCAGGTGTCTTCTCTGAGTTCAAATCTTGTACATCCAGTTAGCTGTTGAACTTGGACTTGAATGTTTTATAACTCTTCATGTTTTTGGTTATCCTCTTCCAAACCACCTCTCCCCACTTCTCTTCAGTTGTATAAATGGCATTGCTTCATTCATTCCCAGCTTCTCCCCAAAGTCTTTTGCCCTCATGGCTCTCACACCTGATCCTTTTGGTGAGGTTTATGGGTTCAACTGTTGCAATAGCCTTCTTTGGTTGTCATTACTGAAAAATTTGAAACTCCAGTATGGTCTTCTCCTATTTGGACTGGTGCAATACCTTGCAGTTGCCCCTGTTCCATCTACAATCTTATAGTATCCCACAGAGATGACACTCTGAACCTTACCTAGGGAGATAGTGATCACTCATTGATTACTTAGCCTTTGGGTATGGGTGGTTTCCTATCAGTCTGTAAATAGGAATACTGAAGCAGTGGAAAAGACATTATTTTGTTATGGTTTTAAGACAGGGTCTCACTGTACAGTTCAGGCTGGCTTGAAACTAGCCATATCTGGGCTTGAACTTTCAATCTTTTTGCTTCCACCGGAGTGAGCTGTAGAGATTTTACAGCTCTCTTTTTAAACAAGTGTGTTTACACACACACACACACACACACACACACACACACACACACAAACACATTTTCTCTCACACAAATCTTCTAGAAACCTTTCCTTGTGACAAGTACAAGTTTTAAACTCTGTTGCCATACTGTCATCTTTCTCTCTCTAGAGCACACTGTGTCTCCTTCCTTCCTTCCTTCCTCCCTCTATTCCTCCTCCTCCTTCTTTTTTTTAAAGGCAGAATCCCACTATGTAGCCCAGCAGCCTCAAACTCATAATCCTATTGTCTCAGTCTCCCAAGTATGGAGATTTCAAACTTGTGTCGCTGTACTGGCTTATACCTGCTCTTTGGGTTTCTGCACTGGCTGTTCTTGTGGATGGTAGCCATTTTCATTCAGCTCTGGGGAAGACGCCTGGTTCCAGATTCCAGGCAGATATTAACAGAAGTGGGACCCTGACCATTGGCACATTCCTATTACATCCTTCTTTGTTATTGCACTTGCAACACCTAAGAATCCAGTTTCTGTATCTTTCAAATCTTGACAGTTTGTCTCTTCCTCCCTACCTTCATGCTGAACTATAATCTAGGAAACAAACCCTTCCCACTGTATCCTCAGAAGGGCCATGAGGCAGAGGAATGGCCCTGGCAGTGGAAGAGGTGTGCAGGCCTTACTGTCGCTCATGATTGAAGCCTCATGAAATGTCTGTCATTGTTTGGGGTAGGTGAGAAAGTTGAATTGAAGCTCTGCTTCCTGCTTCCTATAATGATAACTGGAATCTAGGAGACATAGCACAGCAGGTATCAGTAGACTGGTTGCTAAAACTGCTTGATCATTGAGATCCATGAATTCATAGAAAGGAAAATACCTACCTTACTTGGTTGACTCAAGACTGGGTTGTTGGTGCTCCAGTGAGGAAAGAGGAGGTTCTCTGCAGCAGTTTGGCCTCAGAGCCATACACACAGGTGCTCCCTTGGTTTCCGTGGCAACTTGGACTTCAGCCCTGGGAGTTGCATGGTGTATCTGAGGCTCTGTTCTACCTTTTCACTCTCTTCTTTTGTGTCTGTCTCTTTCTCTGTAGACGGTTCTGCCTCCCAGGCTCAGCAGCTTCCCAACTCTCAGGTTCTGTGGCCCGACGAAGCTGTCTGCCTCCGCAAGAAGAAGAGACATCCTCGTCCTGATCCCTTTGCCCGGCTTTCAGACTTGTGCCACCGTCAGCTACCAGAAGACCAGACGGCCATCCTCAACAGCGTGGATCATGATGACCCAGGCCACGCTACTCTGCTATGACTTGACGTCACTCTAAGTGTCCCCAGGGTGGGGTGCTAGGCTAAGGGGGCAGAGAGGGACCACTGTACAGGGCCTTGTCCTCCTCTGCCCATCCTGGGTTGGCTCAGGCCCTTGTCCTTGTGTGTCCCCTCCTGCCAGTGAGCTTCTCCCTTAAGATCTAGCTGACTAGCCTTGTCCACAGGACAGAGAACTGGGGGAAGAGCTCTTACCTGTGGCTCAGAGTTGGGAGTATATGAGGACAGAAAACATCTGTCTCGACACCACCTCTCCCACTTTACTAGATTCTTCTCACCTCTTCAGATGTCTTAGGAAGTGAAGAAGAGAAAAGCAATGGCTTTTACTACACTGCATTTGTTTCAGTTTTCCAAGTCCCAGGAGGGGGTTAGAATTACATCCTATCCTCCAGACTCCACATATATATAGATATAGATACAAATACACTTGTGTGTAGTTGGTGGGTTTCTCTATGTGTATATATATGTACATTGAAGCAAAGTGCTGTTTCTCCCTGTGGTCGGTGAAAGATTGAGGAAGGCACTGAACAGATGGGCTTGGTGAGCAGGGCGGGCTATGAGCTGGTGGGTGCCCTCATGTCTGTCCTGGGAGATCATTCCAGCTGAAACCGGATTTATGCCTCCCAGCTGAATTCACCATTGTTTTTTCTAGCCTCTCCCACCTAGAGTGGAAATGGAGCCCTGCCACGATTCCTAGCTCCCTGCTTGGGGGGTTAGCAACAAGTTACTCCTGAACTAAACCCCAAGCCTTTACTGCCTGCTTGCTAAGTGAGGAAAGCAAGGCCAGGCTCAAGGCCAGACTGGCATCTTCCTTTCTTCTGCAGTTTGACACTCACCTTAGAAATAGTGGTTGTTTAGCAGTGGGGCTGACAGGCAGGCCCGGTATACAACCCCCTGTTCATGTGGTCATGCCTTGGTCTTTTCTGTTCCAGCCAGGGCTAGGAACCCTGCAGCCAAAGGCCCTCCTGTTCTGCAGCCACCTGTGCTGAGCACCAAGCTGCCACAGCTCTATTTATACCCATCTTGGCTCTGAACGCAGAGCACTGCTCCCCCGCGGCCGATTGGCTCCTCCTTTCCTTTTGTGTCTGCTAATTCTCCAGATTGATTAATTGCCATTTGTGGGAGCTGCCTGCGGCTCCTTGGCATACTCTCTGTGTGCTGTCTGCCAACTCTGCTTTGCCCTGGGGTCCTTCTCCACCTCCTGGACCCAATCTCCAGTGCATGAGATGAAGAAGTGAGGGTACCTCAGATGGTTGAGTTGTGGGGTGCTCTTTTCTCACTGCTCCTATATGGAGCTGGCTGAGCTGCAGGAATGATGGTGGAAGGAGTGGTGGGCAGGCACCAGGGCCCTTATCTTTTCTCTGTACAAATCTGTCCTGGTTCAAACTGTTAGTACTCAGAACTTTTCCTGATGCCATTTGTCAATTCAGATACTTCTCTCTCTCCTGAAAAGGTTATGGTGTTGCTCAAGCGCTGAGAAGGGGGAGAGTGCCTCTCTCCATGCTTTGCCTAAAGTAGTGGTAACCGCCAGCTTCCCGGAAGTGTTCCTTCTTGGTGCTGCTGTGTCCATCTCTCCCCAGTGACCTCCTCCAGGCATTAGCCATGTCTACTGGAAGGCTTCTGCTGGTCCCACAGAAGCTGCTAGTCACTTGGCCTAGTGACTTTGATGAGGTCACAGGGGCTAGGAAAGTGACTTTTTTTTAGCGCTTCCATCTTGGGGGATGGACTGCATCTCTGCAGCCAGGCCTTGGTGCTTCCTTCTCTCTCCCAGTGGCCTAGGGATGGGCTCCACATTGAGGCTTCACACAAGCCACACTACTGCAGCTTTCTTCCGGACGTAAGGGAAAGAGGGGCCAAGAGCAGTTTCTTTTGCTCTGAGATTAGGCCATGTGCCTCAGACCATCTAACTCATGTGATTCTCAGAGGTGTTTGAGTCCACTTGACCTCTGGACGTAATTTCCAACAAAGCAGAAGAGTTGAGTTCAAAGACTCATACCCTCTTTCAGAAGTGGGACATTGCTTCTGCCACTGTGCCACAATGGGCTGCTCACTCAAGTGTCTCCTGGGGTTATTGGGAACATATCTACCTGAAATACTGGAGTAGTGTTTGGAGGCTCACAGTGGCCTAGTATGTGGTCTTTGCTTGCTCTCTCACAGCACGCAATTCCTGAACCATGGAGTGTAAAAGTATATGACTGGGGCTGGCAAACTTTGTACTGAATTTGGCCAACTGTTCTAAGGACCCTCCTAGAAATTCTTGCCCTGATACTGTCTGGGCCTGGAGGTCAGAATGGAGGAGAAGTTGAGGTGGAAGACTGCTTCTTTCAGATGTTGTAGGGCCAAGAGCCAAACCTTGTGGGCTGAGCTGCCTCAGTCCATGGCTAGGCTTGCATGCTGGGCTTTCAGGTTGTGCTAACAAAGGTGCTGACTTCTTCCTCTTCTTGCCTCTGGCAGTGCCCCTTACCTCTGCCTAGCTGACCAAAAGGTGGAAACTGCTTCTGACTGGCCTCTGGGTCACAGCTGTGCTATTGTGTCCCCTGTACTCAGAAGGGGGACAAGGTCTATCCATTCCAAAGTGGCCTCTGATGCATTCTCCTCCTAAGAGGTCTTCCTTCTTGTGACTTTTCTTGGAGACCAGCAGCATTCTGCACTTCAGGAAACTGTTTCAGTCCTTCCTTTGGTGACTGCAAAGCAAACTGGCAGGGTCCTGCCCCATGGTCAATGCGATGATCAGGGTGTCAGAGGCACACTCTCAAGTGCAACATCTGGGCACATGTTTGACAGTCTGGTTGGAAATGTGTTATGTTGGGGTGTATCCACTTCTAGGGACCAATGACCTTTACACTCTGCCTTTGAACTTGGCAGTGACCACTATGAGCTTGCTAGGGTTTTCACCCTCCTTGCTGTGGGAGATGATGTCTTCCAAGTCCTCCCTTTGCATCTGGTAGCCTTGCAGAAGTAACCCAGTTCAAAACCTATTCCTGTACTCAGTATTTTTTCTATCTTTTCCTTCTGCATCTTGAAAATGCTCAGTGTCTAATCCACAATCCAGAAAGAGTGTAAACCTGGTTCTCTAAGGGTCCAGAAAGATTGCAATTTGGGGGAAAGAAGATGAAAAATAAGAAGTAAATCTTGCTTCTTTATTCTGTGGCTGTCCATACGGAGCTTCACTTCAGTGCTCTGTGCACCCATGGTCATCGGTGGCCATTGGTCCGGCATCGGATGCTGGACCCTGCCTAATGGTCAGCCTATCTTCTTCCCACTTTTCTTAGAGGGAGTAGAACAGGAGAGAAGAGGTCTTCAGAAAGTCTTTCTCAGTGGAAAGGGTGCTGTATCACACAGCATGAGCAGATTTGCACTCCATCTCCACAGGCTTGGGTTATGTTTGGGGGAGATTTCAGAAGGATGAGAACAATTACTTATTGATATTTTTCCAGTGTGTTCTCTCTTGGTTTTTGCACAGTGATCTAAACTATTTGAGGTTGAACAGATTTTAATTGTTTATTCTTCTGCTCTTTTCATACAGAGAAAACTGGGTAAGGTTGAGATGTGTGATTCCTTTCTTTCCCTCTTCTGGTGAGACTGGCACACACTAGCTTCAGGGGAGGAGTCCCAGAACATTAGGGCATCTTAGTTGCTTCCTAGGATCTGTATTTGAGGCTGTTATGCATAGCTCGAGCCATTTCTTCTGATTTTGATAGCAGAATCCTTTAGTGGTCTTGGGGTGGGCTGGGAGAATTGTAGGTAAGTACATTTTATTAGTATGTAGAGAACGCTAGAAATTGAAAAGCTATTGGCTTGGACTTGCTTTGCTTGCATGTAAAAGTGCTTTGAGGGGCACTGCAGGGACCTGGGGATAAGAGGATAGAGTCAAGGGCAGTGATGGAGGGGTGGTGTGGGGAGGTACCGCTGATGCTTTCTCTGAGATCCTGAGCATTTCCACTAGTGCTCATTGGCTTGACTCTACCCTTTGTGCATGCTCCGAGACAATGGAGGCTCAGGGTCTTGCTGATTAGCTTTGTCTCTTTGGGAAGAGCCTCCAGAAGACCCTTCATAGCCATTCTGCACTGAATAAAGTAATTGATAGGGCAGGTGTGGTTCAGGAAGAGAAGTGAGGATTAGACTGGAGAGAAGACTTGATTGTGACCAGGTATGTGAGACTGAGAAAGATAGAGCATTAACTCAATTGTAGAGAGTTCAGGAATCCTGGGATGACCAGGTGAAAATGCAAATAAGGCACCAAACCTCCAGTTCTCTTTGTGACCACTCTACCAGCCCAGAAGACAGTGCAGACAGTTTAGGTGGAATCATCACTAGGAAATGAGTGACTGCCAGCGTGGGCCATGAGGAATGAATAGGCCCGGTGTGGGAAGGATGTAGCCACTGAGAACAGGTTGTGGGCAGGGCTTGGTAAGAAGGCCCAGCCTGGATCTTGGAAGAAATCTTGCTTAAGGCAGGGCTTTTCTGTTTGTAGAACTGGCCTCTAACTCCAAGTGCTGAATTCATTTTTTTTTCTTCTATTTGTGGAGCTTCTCTGGTGAAACCTGGGAGACTGGCCTTCAAATGCCATCAGTAACTGCTTTCCAGTAGAGAGGGAAGGTTCTCAGGAGCTTGGTGCTCATTGTCTTGGCAGCTGTGGCACATTGTGCTCCTAGTCTGTGTCTGAAAAGGCCCATCGGACAGTGCTGATGGTGCACAGGAGGCCTGGCCTCCGGACTTGTCAGTGTTTCTTGAGCTGTAGAGAATGTTTTCATCTTGGAGGCTACACAGTGACCTAATATCCAGAGGTTTTGTCTTCAATTTCTCTCTTCCTTTGATAGGTTAAATTTACCACACTGTAGCTATGAGAGTGAAATAATTTCACCTGAATTCAGAGACTATTTATTCTGTACTCCTTACTGTATCCAACTTCCTCTTGGGTCAAGAGGAATAACTGAAGATCTCCTTAAGAGAAGTCAATAAACTGAGAATCAAATCTCTGACCGGACTCTAGTAACTCTCACCAACTCATGCAACTTGGTATTTGAGTGGAGCTGGCTTGTACCTTTTGATGCTGAATCAGCACAGGTCCAGAGCCTAATATCTGGGCCCCTGTCTTTACTTCCAAATAAACCTTTCAGGAACAAATACACTGTCTGCACCAGATGTTTGGTGTCTTGGATTGCCAAGAGGGTAGAATTTTTTCATGACATCATTAAAAATCCCTAATCGATTGAGTCTGATCCAAAGATACTCCCAAATCATAGGAATATCTGTGTAGATTAAAAAAATTCTTTAGTGCAAACCTTTTTAGTGGCTGGCCGTGCCTTAGGAGAGGAGAGTTGAGGTATCCTAACTGCTAAATATTTGGGTAGATCAGCAGCCAGCCATTGAATCACTTGGACATTCTCTTCTACAGTGGGTTGGTTGCAGCAGCTAGGGACTCTGAAGAGTGCTGGTGAACAGTGATCAGCTTTGGACCCCTGGTTAGGGAATTCAACCAAAGCAGCATAAGAAACTCATTTTGCAGCCAGGGCCTTGACTGTTCCTTTCCCACCCAGCTTAACTATACGGCAACATGAATGACTGGGCTTATTGTTCTTCTGAGTTTTGAAGAAATGCATCCCATCAATCCCATCTCCCACTGGCATTAGATTTCCTGGATCTGCTTTGGGGAGTAGAGCAGGCTCTCCCTCCACCCAAAGCCACACCATTCAGGCTCTATTTCCTTCTTCTCCCCACTTGTGTGTGGCTCCAGGATCTCTGGCTTGTGCATGGTCTACAATAGGAAGGTGGTTGGGTTGGGGAGAGAATTGGGGAGGATGTAGGGGTTGGACTCCGGGAGGGAATTTGCATTTTCAACCTTAAAATACTGTAAGCATGTTTTGGGGTGACCTGGGATTTTCACTTAAACTATGGTTAGGGAAAATGCCTGATGCTCCTCATAGGGGAGGTGGGCACTCAGGGGGACATTTGGCTTCTTTTTGGCTTAGGATTTTATTTTATGTGGTGGAGGAGAATAAGCATCCTCACAGTCACCCTGCAAACCTTGGAAGGGAAACTCATTCTATCACTGAATAGTTATATTGCCTACTGAGAACAATGAAACAGTCTGTCACAGGTAGACATTGCCCTGGCTGGGTAGAGAAATGGATGGATGGCACCAGTTCCTCAGCAGGTCAGGTTATCTGCCTGGTCATGAACCCCTGGCCCACTGTTTATTCCAGTGTTCAGAAGTAAGTGTGTTAGATGGGTGTGAGTATGTGGGATGTGTGTGGTGTATGCATGGTATCTTTGTGTGCATGAGTGTGTGTTTGTGGTGTGGTGTATGCAGTGTGTGTGTGTGTGTGTGTGTGTGTGTGTGTGTGTGTGTGCATGTGTATGTGTGTGTGTGTGTGTGTTGTAGGGGTATGATTTGTGTGTGTATTTGATTCGAGTGTGGGTATGAGGGAACTGTAGAGACACAAGCTTTGCCTGGGTAACATCAGGCGCAGTTATGGCTGACTCTTTGCTAGACAAATTTCTGTTTTGGTAGGAGGGTCATACTCATAATATACCATCTTGAGTGTATTTTTATGGAGATTGTATATAAAATTATATAAATATATATAACTTGTTCTATTTTAAGGTGAAATGAGACTTATTGGGGGGAGGGCAAGAATCAGATGCAATAGTGGTGACTAACAGTGGGAGCTTCAGGTAAGTTGTCCACGTGGGGAGTGGGAGGAGTGGGTGGGAAAGAGATGTAAGCTGGGCAGGAGTGGAGGCTCGTGCCCTCTGCACACATATATAAATATAAAGAAAACCTATATAAAGCTATCTAGCATATCAATATATCTATATATCTATATGAAGTCATAGTTTGCTTTATTTTTGTACCTGTGCTTAGAGACACTTTGAGCAGTATCACCTCCCCCAGGTGGTCCGGGGTGCTAGCTCATGCCTTGATGCCACCTACTTCTCCATCCTTCCTGAGACATGCTATCTGTTTGAAGCTGCTTGAGTCTTTCCGATAGAAATGTGTATATATGAATAAAATTCAAATCATTTGCAGGAAGAGCAAGAGAGCTGACAATGGAGAGCTTCTGGTATATCTCTTGTCGGGAGGGTTCCCTGACTCATACTGTTTTGTAGAGGTGCTCAGCATAGAAAGGATGGTGGAGGGCTAAGCATGAATCCATGCCCTCTGGCTAAGGATTGGTACTCAGTTCCTTGGAAAAATTCTTGCTCAGCATCTTGGACAAAGGGAGGTCAGGTTGTCTGGGTCATAGAGTAACACTTGTCATGGTTTGTAGTGCCTGGGCTCATGCAGTCCCCTGTAGAAGGTAGGGGTGAGATTTTGAGGCTGACTGCGTGGGCTCAGTCTTGGTGAAGATACACCCTGGTAATTATTGCTGCAGATTCTTGGAACCAGTGTGAATGTGATATCTAGTATAAATATAGCATCTGTGCTTTTTCGTTTATTTTTTTAAGTGGAAAATAAATTGTTGTCAGGAATGGGATGGGTGGTCTAGTCCTGGAACACTGAATGGAAGATCAGGAATGAGGGACTAATGCTGGCCAGGACTTGAAGGATGAGTCCCACTGCCATCTTCCTCCTGCTCAGTCCTGGACTCTGAAACTAAATAATGTATTGGAAGAAGGTGGGTGGGAGGAGTTCATTTGTGTTTGGGCAAGAAGCTGTGTACTCTGAGGAATACCTCTTTGAGAATTCAAGACCTCACATATGCTGTAAAGGCCATGCACCTTCAGCCTTAGCTGGCATCTCCTGGTACTAGCTCTTTTTTCTCATGTGCCAAGTGATCACAGCAATTTATGCTTGAGACCATTGCAGAAGCCAGGAGAGACTCAGGCTATAGTCTAGTTTTCCTGCTTCTCAGTCATGAAAAGGCAAAAGTACTTCCTCTTCCCAAGCTAGAACATGATGTTAGCCAAGAGATCCCACCCCAAATGCTCAACCATGGGAAGGCCCTTTTGGGCATTAGGGGTGATGGGCAGAGTAGGGCAGAGTGGAGTTTGAGTCTAACTCCTGATCCTTATGGAGATCTTATGATTCCCTTTCTCAAAGTACTCAAAAATTTCCAAGGATATTGTGGGAAAATGGACTCTATCCATATAGTACTGGATGGTCTCCAGCATCCAGTCTAACTGGAAGTGTGTCTGGTCCTACCCACAGCCTCCTCAGGAGGTCAAAGGAGGATATGGCTAGGTGTTTCTTGTACATTTTCTAAGAGATTGAGCAAGAAGAAGAACAGCAAATTCTTTGTCCCTTCCTAGCTTGAGTCCACTCCTCACTTACTAAAGAGGGGTTTCCATTACAATTTTTTGGTTCTTAGAGCCCACCTCTTCTCTTTGTAAGTAGATTCTATCTCACTGCTGTTCATAAGAGGCCAGCAGAATTAATCACTTTAGCATCCCAAGGCTCATACTCCATGAAGTCCAGGTTTGCTCTGATGCTTTACTCTTTCCACATTGAGCCAAAGGCTTGGTCCTTAGAAACCTCAGCAGCATCAAGATGCATGAAATCACCGTCCTATTTCATGATGTCCAACTGACCTTTCTGTGGAAATGGGAAGATGGACTTGGTCTTTACCCTGAAGTTTTAGAGCTTGGGGAATATGTTACATTTGCCCTTTCTATGACCCAGACCTCAGTAAGAAAGGTGAGCATTGGAGGAGAAAGGACTGGTGGCCCAACACCAGTCACCTAATCTGCAGAAGAGCCAGCTTTCCACAAGGGAACACAGAGCAAAGGAGGTCAGGGTCTGATTATATATGGAAAAGAAGAGTTATCTTAGACTCTCTCAGTTAGTGGGAGGGGTGCTCTGATAAAGCTGCCACCAGGACCCTGAACTGTTTTGTATACTTGAGATTCGCCTTGGTCCCTAGGTCATGGGAAGGTTGTTGAATTGTGATGTTCTTCCCTATTGGTAGGAAATAGGGGCCATCTTAAGAGATTGAGTTTGGCTACCTCTGCCCTATGGAATGAGTGTGGAGACAGATCGGGGATTTGCTCTCCCAAGGCTTTCTGTAACCTTGTCCTTTCTCCACTGTCCTCAACCAGGAGCCTGAGGCAAAGGGGCATGTCCACTCTCCTCAGATTTTGCCTGGGCCTCACCTTGTGCTGAGCTACTCCTGTGGAACCATCTTGGGCAATATAAAAGCATGAGGTGGGGGACAGGACAAAGCACCCCTCCCATGGTGAGGAGTGCATTAGGAAGTTGGAGTAGGGGTTTTTGTCCTATTGTTGAGGAAGTGACTAGTGCTGCCTTTGAGGCCTGGAAGGAGTTGCTCTGTGGAGTGATCTTGCTGCTGAGGTGTCACAGAGGGCATGGTGGACCAAATGCTCTATTCACTGGAGTCCTGATTACTACCACCATAGTCTTAAAGCTCCATGCAGATTTCATTTCTTAACTGCCATTTGTGGGGCCGGAGAATGAGGACAGGGATGGGGCACACTTTCCCAAGTTACCTGCCCTTATGTTGTCCTGACTGAGCATAGGATATCCTGCTTTGGTCAGCAATTCTGGTGCCCCCCCCCATTGCCACCTTTTTCTCTTTCGTGAGGAGGGACTGTATCATCTTGGACATATTTCTTCCCTCACTCACCTAAAGGCAGTTTTTATATGGATTCCTTTCCTCCTGTTACCCCCATAGTCTGTAGACACAGAAATGGGGAGGTGAAGGGGTCCTGGAACTCCCTGCCAGGGTCCCTCACAGGCTGCGCACCTCTTGCACCTGGCAACCTCTTGGCTGTTAGTTTTAACACATCTGGACATGACTATCAGTTTTGTCATGAGATTCCTTGCTCTCATTTCAAACCTTTATTCTTCCTTTGGCTTTCTTTGGGGCTCTCCCCATCCATGCCTGGTCTTCTTATGGAGACCACTCAGACCTCATTTCCATTTCTTGAATGTTGAGTATTACATCACTGCGCTAGGGTGCTTCATGGTGCTGCTCCTGAAGAGGCCAGCTGGACGGAATCAGTCACCTTCGTCCCACTGGTTCCTTACATCTTTCTGTATTTTTGTCTCTATTAGATGTTGTTCCCTCGGGGATGGGGGTGGGAGATTTAGGGGTAGTTTTGTGTTCTCTCTCTCTCTCCTCACTTTCCCCCTCCTCCTCTTTCTCCGTCCTCTTTCCTCTTTCTCTGTATGTGTGTATGGATTGGTTAAAGTCAGTTATCATAGGCAGCTGACTTTGGTTCCAAATTAAAGTTAACCCACACATTGTACAGCTGCACACAGAACACCTTTGAGTGTGAATTTGGATGGCAACTAGAGGCATACTTTTTGAACTTCAGGTATGTAACTGAAAAGTAAATAAAAACACTATTTTTTCAGTAAGCTTTTTTTTTTTCTTCTAAAAGATAACTTAAAAATCAAACTATACGAACATTAAATTGGTGCTGTACCAAAGCCTTATGACATATTCTACACTCTGTATATTCTGTCTCTGGGGAGCCCCCTACTTTATCACTCTTCTCAAAAGCCTGGGAATGCCAGTGTGTGTCAAGCCTGGGGCTGGGTCCTGGAGACCTGTGGGCCAAAGGGACTCTTGGGAGCAGAAGATGATGTTGGAAGTGGGGTTGCCCATCTTCCGCCTGAGCATATACTGAAGGGAAACCAGGTGTTGGTGTGTGTGGCAGGAATGTGCATGCATGTGTGCATGAGCTCACCAGTGCATAGTGCCAAAATGAATGCACTACCTGAAGGCTGAGAGAGAGACCCAGGTAGGCCTGGGTGTGGGGTGGCCATGGGAGTGAGGGGCATGTTCCTTTCTGTTTCCCACTTCCCCTGTCTTCTAGGTTAGTAGTGGAGGTGTATCAGAAACAGCTACACTCTCAACAGGTGCTTTTCCCCTCAAAATCTCCAAACTAAGTATCTGTGAAGGGCCTGTCCATGGGGCAGGCACCTCAGCTACCAAATCCTAACCGCCTAAGGCTGGGAGGAAGCTTTTTTCTCTCTAGCCCTCGCCTAGTTTCTTGGGGACAAAGGTTCCTCCAGGGATCTCTGCATCTCCTGTCCCTTGGCCTGGGTGGGCTTCTTAGCCCATTGAGAAGGCCTCACTGTGGGTGACCCATAGCTGTACCTGCTCCATGGTCCCAATCAATAATGCCTGCCCTGGCTGCTGAGGACAGTGACTGTTGGCCTCAGGCTTGTCAGTGTAAAAGCTGAGCACCCACCCAGATTCCTTCGGGAAGAGATGTGCAGTCTGCCTTGGCCTGGACTGCTCTTCCAGGCTTCATTCACCTGCTGGTTCTTTCAGGCTTGCTGAAACTAACCAACTCATCACCAATAACACTGCATGTTCATCTCTGCAAACAACAATACATAAGCAAACACAGGAAAAGAGAGAGAAAGAAGGCACATCTCATAGCCAGATGTGTAGCCAGTGAAAGCACCCTTAGGGACATTGCAAGCTAAGCTGATTACAAACGTTTAGTATTTAATTGCTCCTCATGTAACATTACTCTGCTTCAGAAATGTTTTGTATTTTGATATAAATAAAAATTTGCTTAAAAAGTTTGTTTTCTTTCTTTGTTTCTTTGTTCCTTCCTTCCTTCCTTCCTTCCTTTCTTTTTTTTATATCTAGAGTATTTGCTCATGGTATCTAGTTTTACTACCGGCCCCAGATCTCCTCCATCAGCTCATTTTAACACCCGGCTCAACAT